CTAAAGTAGTGCCTGAAACACAGGAAGCCATCGATAAATCTTACCTATCATTGTTATTTAAAAACAGGAAGGAGATTTAACAACTCCTTTGTGTAGAAGAACATCAGCAAATACAAAGGGCAGCACTGAAACTCCACGCTACACTGCATTTAGGAAGGCTCCCTGCTCTCTGCGACCCCCTCCACACCCTCAGAAACAGGGGGCCCGTCCTCTGTGCTGTCTATCACCTACTTCAGCACGAGGCAGGCGCTCACTGTTCGACCAAGGGATACTGAACTAACATGATGTTTATAATTTGCAGGTGTGTGTCCAGACTTACTAATTTTAAAACTCTTCATGGACTGTATGAATATTTTTCAGAGACTGTAGTAAATGCTATTTTTTCTTTTCTTATTTAATTTCTCCAAGATCAAATCATATGTGGGAAACATTTACTTTTGAAGGCACTAGATATGTAGAATATGTACTTTTAGATAAGTGTAGTACTCCTTTGAACTCCTCCAATTCTTTGACCTCTCCGTAAAACAGATTAATGAATCAGCAAGGAAAAACACCACGACGCAACCAATATTAATGCTCCCTTCCTGAGACAGAATTAAGCAATCTGGCTACTTACTGAAGGTGCCTAGAATTGATGAGAATCCCATATTCATATCCAACTCACTTGTTAATCATTCAGATTTCAACATTTAATAACACCACATTCTCAAATTCAATTGAGATACACATTCTATGTCTTACACTTCTTGGATCAAATGCAACTATCATAATTTTCAGAGAAGCTAACAAGAAACGCTAGTTGAAACATAGGCCTTTACTTACATGTTCATAAAACTGATTATTCTTGCTAAAAGAGAAAACTTTCTTGTTATCTAAGCAAAGCATACATGTTTGATTTATGCAGGATTAATCAAACATGTTGGGATTAACTTCTCTGTAAATTAATCCGAAGAGAATTTTCTCATTACATTTTCTTAAACACAGCATTCTCAGCAAGGACAAAAATAAGTGCCCGTGGAATGAATCTTTCAAAGAACACCCACGATGCAGCAGCTACTCCACGAGTCTACTAACGAAACAGAAGAGAGTCTGTGCTTGTTAAGGGTTAGTATCTTGCCCGGTAGAGAGATCCGGGTTTTGTGCACAGGAGAGCAGTGTCAGGGAGACCAGGAAAAGCTGGTTGCAGGGGCTGGGAAGGAGGAAGGGAAGGGCAGGAGCTGGCACTGCCCCTGGTTCTCTGCACTGCACGCTCCCCCCGAGGCTCCCGTTGGACTTCTGCACGGAGCTGCGAGCTATGCCCTGAGCACAGCTTCTTCATCAACGCACGTAGTTCAAGCTACAAGGTCCACTTCTTCCTCTCTCCTTCCAAAAAAATGATTCGTTCTCTACTATGGTTCCAATTACACTGAAAGACTGCCTTATCACATTTGTCCATAACATCTTCCATGACCGTCCCCTTCACTGTTGCCTGATTTTAGCCAATACTACACTGCATCTCTGAAGAAGTATTCCAAAGAAAATCTCTGAAACTGTGGGAAGCGGGTATGGCCCCTCAGAGGTCTAGGATGCACTGGGGACAGGCCAGGGGTGGATGGGGTGGGGGGGGCAGCCAGCACAGACCTTGCTTGACAGGCAAAACTCTTGGCTCAGACCCAAAGCACTCCTAAGAAGACTATGGGCATGACTTTAAAGTGGGTTTTCTTACCAGAAGACAAAGAAATTAAATTTTCAACAGCAGCCCAACAACATGATGTCTGCATTCACCCATCTTTAAAATTCCTTTTCATTCACAGGTACATCTATCAAAGTTGCGGTATTTGTTTACCATTTTCATTAAATTACGTGCACCTTACATACAGTTCCATCAGTCCACGAGACAGCTGAAGTCTGGATCTGGGGCTAATTCAGGGAGCGGGGCCTTGACGGGCAGTGAGAGGGACGCAGCCAGGAGCACAGGCCCTTGAGTCAGACTGGCTGCGATTCCCAGGTCCCTCCTTGACCAGCTGTCAATCAGGCAACTCAGTACACCGCCAAGGTGACAGTGGTCTCTTCAAAAAGTCGGAGTAAGTAACAGTTCTATATTACAGGGTCGTCTGAAGTTTAGTGCATGCAAAACAATTAGTGAAATACCTCACAGAGTAAATTAATGCTCAGGGTGTATTAGTTACCGGCGGTGGGCAAGGGGGGACTGATGCTCAAAAATATTCACTGAACAAAGGAACTTACAAATATAGAATGGAAATTCAGCATGCTAATGAGTTACTTCTGGCATTTAGACTTACATAATATTTGAAAATAATCCAGTTGCCTTTACTCAGCAATACGAAGTAACTCCCAAAATGCAGCATTTTTAACTCAGTTTAAATTAATCACCTAACTTTTGGATTGCAATCATGCAAACGAAAATGATTTTTAAAAGGATATTTGCAAATGGAATCATCATCCTTTCTACGCTCAGACTTTTTAGTCTAGAACACGCTGAACCTCCTAAAAAATAACTGGGAGGAGCGTTGCCAAAGGAAGACACGCAGCACTGTGGGGGGTGGAAGGAACGAGAGAAAGAGGAAACTAAACAAAGATGAAGACACCTGCACCAACTTAACAATTCCTGTCAGTCTCGGAGGGCAGGCCGTGCATCGTTAGACATTTTAAAGACACAGACTCCCAACCTGCACGACCCAGATGAACAGGGTATCGTTTTTCTTACTGGGCAACCCCTTTAACCTGCAGTTAGAACACTTACACCGACAGGTTACTTAAATATATACCTGAACAGATTATGTGTTTCTTCTTTAAAAACCCCACCTACACTACAGTAATTTCTCAGTATTTCCTTAAAAATCTAAAACAATCTAAACAGACCTCCAAATTGCCTAAATAATACATCAAATTTCAAATGTATAAATTTGGGTTTTTTTTAAGTTACTTAGAGGTAAGAGAAAAATACCAAAACATACATTTTTGATCAACAAACTCTTATATTTGACCATATTTTTGGTTTGTGTGATCTTTGCTAATCTACAAAAATATCACCTCTGTATTCAAATCGTTGTCAGCCAATCATGTAATATGCTACCAAACAAATATTCCCAGCAGAACTTGCCCTTTTCTCATTATTAATGGTCGACTCAAAAAACTTTTCAGAAGCTGTCTACACTAGTCACATTGCCAAGAAAAGCAAAACAGCCACAGTAAATCTCTTTGAAATCATGAATGTGTTTTCTCCTATGAAGATTTAACTACAGATATACTCATATTTTTCAGGATCACCATGGTAACTACATTTGCTATGAATCTGAATTGAGATCATTAAAATGTCCATACTACCCAAAGCAATCTGTAGATTCAACACAATTCCCATCTAGATTCCAGTGATGTATTTCACAGAACTAGAACAAATATTTCAAAAATTTATATGGAACCACAGAAGTCCCCAAATAGCAACAGTGATCCTGAGACAGAAGAACAAAGCTGCAGGAATCACACTGCCTAATATCAACCTATATTATAAGGCCATAGTAATCGAAAAAGCCTGGTACTGGCATAAAAAGACACACAGATCAATGGAACAGAACAGAGAGCCCAGAAACAAACCCACACCTTTACAGTCAATTAATATTCAACAGAGGAAGCAAGCACATACAATGGGCTAAAGACAGTCTACTCAATAAATGGTGTTGGGGAAATTGGGCAGATACGTGCAAAAAAATGAAACTAGACCACCTTCTTACACCACACACAAAAATAAATTCAAAATGAACCAAAGACTTAGATATTAGACCCCAAACCATAAAAATTGTAGAAGGAAATACAGGGAGCAAAGTCTCAGATGCTGCTCCTGGCAGGATTTTAATGGATGTATTTCCCCAGGCAAGGGAAACAGAAGGAAAAAAATAAACAAACGGGATGACGTCAAGAGAAAAACTTTTAGCACAGTAAAGGAAGACATCAACAAAATAAAAAATGAACCTACAGAATGGGAGAACATATTCGCTGATAAAAATGATAAAGCCTTAACATCCAAAATTTATGAAGAACTTACAAAACTTAATACCAAAAAAAAAGGTGCAATTAAAAAATGGGCAAAGGTCCTGAATACACACTTTTCCAAGAGGACATACAGACAGAAAATAGACGTGAAGAGATGCTCAATGTCACTAATCATCAGAGAAATGCAAATAAAAAGCACAATTAAATACCATCTCATGCCTGTCAGAATGACTGTCATCAATAAATCAACAAACAAATGCCGGTGAGGATGTGGAGAAAGGGGAACTCCATTGCTCTGTTGGTGGGAATGCAGGCTGATGCAGCCACCGTGGAAAGCAGTACGGAGATACCTCAAAAAACTAAAAATGGAACTGCCTTTCGACCCGGCAATCCCACTTCTGAGAATATATCTGAAGGAACCCCAAAACACTAATTCAAAAGAACATAAGCACCTCCATGTTTATTGCAGTGTTGCCATGATACAGAAGCAGCCCAAGTGTCCATCAAGAGACGAGTGGATAAAACAACCATGGGACGTTTACACAATGGAACACTACTCAGCCGTAAAAGCAAAGACAGTTTTACCCTTAGTGAGGTATGGATGGACCCAGAGAACATTATGCTAAGTGAAAAGAGCCAGTCAAAGAAAGACAAATACCGTGTGATTTCACGCATATGTGGAATCTAAGGAACAAACTGAAGTAACACGGAACATGGGGACAGACTTGGAGATGGAGAGCAGGATGACAGCTAGTTGGAGGGGAAGGGAGCAGGTGGACAGACTGAGCAAAATGGAAAAGGACAAATGGACATGACAACAGTGTCATGATTTCTGGGGGAAGTGGGGTATAAGAGGACTAAATGGTGATGGAAAAACACAACAAAGATTAAATAAAAAATAAATTAGTTCGCACTTATTCAGTATACATGAAGACTATTATCTTGTATACGTGAGACATCCTCAGTCTGACCTGGCAAGGAATCCCCGCGTGAACGGCAGCACCACATACCTCTGAGGGCCCAGGTTTCTTGCTCTCTTAAAGTGACCGATCCCTTTACATCCCGGGGTGGAGCATCCACCATGTTCTGAAGCTTCCATTAATTCTAAGGGGCCTATGCAAAAGGAAAAAAAAAGGGAAAGAAGAGGCAAAAAGTTAACCAGAAGGTTGTAAGAGTCAGATGTCTGAGATTAGAATGGGGGGAAAATGCCTAAAAATATAATTTTGAATCAATATCCATAAATAACAAAAAAAGTGGATCCTATAAATTTTAAAATATTTTAGAAGTCTCTACTAAAGATGCTCTGAAGGTGCTCCTCTAGAACTTTGTTCATGTTATTTATCTGGCTTTAACAGTGAAATAGTAAACTCTGATCTAACCCTTTCAAAATGTCACAAATTCCAGAATCCAGAGGGACCTAATCTAAATTAATGAGAAGATTCTAAACAAATGTTTTCAAGTACATAACAATATATAGGGTTGGCCAAAAAGTCCATTTGTTTTTTTCCCTATGATGGCTCTGCTTAGCTGTCTTTAACTTCATCTGAAGCAATTTTGTTAGACTGTATTGTGATAGGTGTCATACACTGTGCATTAAAAAAATAGGTGAATTTTTGTGTAGCCATTTTAATATTGAAGATGGAAAAAGTAAACATTTTCAGCATATTATGCTTTATTTCGAAAAAGATAAGAATGCAACTGAAATGCAAAAAAAATTGTGCAGTGTATAGAGAAGGTGTGTGATCCAATGTGTCAAAAGAGGTTTGCGAAGTTTCACGCCAGTGATTTCTTGCTGGACTGTGCTCCATGGTCAGGTAGACCAGTTGAAGTCGGTACTGATCAAATCGAGACCTTAACTGAGGGTATACCACTCAGGAGAGAGCAGACACACTCAAAATATCCAAATCAATGAAGTTACTGGTGAAACACTTTTTTAAAACTGTCTTTTATTTTACAGAAAAAACTAAACAGACTTTTTTGCCAAGCCAAGTTTTACACTGTGAAAACTTCAAATGCCAAACTGGACACAAAAGAACTGTTATAGATCCCACTCAAGCTATCCACTTTCCACATTTCATGCCTTCCCTTGTCCTGACAGTTAATGTGTAGCTTCCTAGATGTTGTTCTTACATCCAATACATCTGATACATGTATCAAGTTTTTCGTTTTATTTTGCCACGTAAAAGGAACAACAGAGATGTGTACTATCCTGAAACATTCTTCTTTGGTCTTTAAGTTAAAGACCATGTCTTATAAATCTTCCCATCTGAACAGTAATACTCTTTATGAGTAGTACATAGTTATCTGTAATTGAATGCATGACAATTTGTTTAGCCGATTTTTGTTTCTAAGATTGGTTACGTTAAAACTACTGTAACCAATACCATGTCTGTGCAATTTTATACAAGCCCTTATGTAGCTCATATATGATATCCAGAAATGAAGCTCCTAAGTGAGGAAGGCACACTACATACTTTAAAATGTGACAATAACTCACTGCATTTCCTACATATTTTTCTATAATGTGTATATTTTCTTCCCAAATTGAGATCCTGGTATGTCAAATTCTTGGTGTATGTCTTTTTTTTTAACAAAAAATAACTAGAATTAATTGAAATGTTTATTGAGGTAATTGTAGTTTTGCATGCAGTCTAAGTAACAATACAGAAGGAGACCCCTTACATATTTTGACCGGTTTCTCCCAATGGTAACATTTTAGAAAACTATTTATCAACAATGATAGATTAAATTTTGATAGTATGATAAACTGTCTTCCAAAAATTCAGTACTAATTTTATAAGGTGATTACTACTTCTAAATAAAAGTAAAAGAATGTCCATACACATTTTACTTTTTCAGACATTAATTTTTTCTCTTACATACTTTTTGCTACCAGGTAATTAAAAATGTAGTAAGAGAGGAAAGGAGTACATAGAGAAGAAATGTATAGTAGAAAGACAAGGGTCAGGGAAAATAAATTATTCAGCATTACACAAGAAAACGGAAACTCTTTTTAAGCCTTGAATTCTTACTCAGAGGGGGCTGAAGAGGATGCCCGGTTTTCGAGCACCAGCCCACGGGGTGGATGTCGGGGGAGTCGGCCTCCATCCAGTAATCATACCAGTTGTTCCAGCCATCAAAGTGAACCTGCACGACAGCAACCACAAAACACTCAACAACTCAGGTCTAAAAATTCCTACAGCAGAAATTCTGCTCACCATAACCATTTTCATTCTCTTCTAACTTATACAGTAGATTTAATACCAAATGAACATTTCAATTATTTAAATTAGTTGGTTCACACTATGAAAAAATATGCCCTTTTGGCCCATCTTCAAATTTCCTAACCATCAATAATGCCTTGCCAAAGGCAGGGTTTTTTTTTTGCCAATACTTCTACAGACATGTTACATGTATCTCCTTATAAGCAACTTGAGTACTTAACATCTTATTAGGAGCAACACCAAACACCTAGTAAACGTCACTGAAGTAATGCATGAATCAGCCGAGTGGGGGAGGTGGCAGGGGAGAGTGGGGAGGCAAGGGGACCTTTTGTATAAATGTCAAGTCTCCTAGAATTATGTTAAAAAGGACTTAGACATTTAATGCCCTATTAAATATACCCAGTTTACAAAATATCCTTCCAGTGAGTGCATTTTTAGATATTTTCCTTACAGATAATTACAATATCTTGCAAAGAGGTTTTACAGAGTAGTCAATACTACCATCTTTATTGGCCACCAGGTAAAATGGCAGGTAGTCTTTCAGGCACAGTCACTAAGGACCAGCTACCTATTTTCTAAATACTACATTTTTAAAATCTTTTAGTGTGAAAGGATATACTGACAAGCTATATACAGGGTAGGGCAAAATAGGTTTAAAGTTGTAAAAAGGAGGTTTAAGTGTTTGCATTTTCCATACAAACACATGTACACCTACTTTTGCCCCCACCCTGCATATTTTACTTTTAAATCAAGGTTGCAATCAAGTTCAAAGTCTATGAACTCTTACTAATCCTCGTAAGACCACAGATGGCAGATAGATAAAAAATTCAAACACCGAAAACTGAACAATAAGTGTTCTAGAAAAATGTATGAGTAAATGTATTTCTAATCTTAATAGTGGAATAGCCTTTATAAGTAAGACAGCAAACTCAAAGCTATAAAAGACTGATCAATTTGACTGCACCACAATGTAAAATATTGCAAAGTAAGATAGCAGACCCACTACAAACCCGAAAACACATCTGTTGCACATATTGATGATGCACTGCTCTTTATAAAGACAAATCACATATCAATATAAAAAGATAAAAACCCAATAGAAGGATGCAAAATACATGCAAATGGTTCATAAACAGAAAATATAAATAGTAAACATATAAAAAGATAATAAAAAATACAAAAAATCAATTTCACTTGTCATTAAAGAAGAAAAGAAACATTGTAACTATAAGATACAACTCTTCTCTTTTGAACCTGCCAGCAATGTTCCACTTTGGTGATTCCTGGAGCTGATGATTATGAATAAAAGATGTTCTGACTGAAGGACTGGTAAGAGTATAACTGATGAGATATTTCTGGGGAGTTATCTAGCAACAACAATTAATTTGTAAAATGCATCACCTTTGATGTGATAATCCCAATAACTTAATTCATTGTTAATAGAGAAAAACATCCAGAGTACACACCATCTGGGGACTGGATAAACAAATTATGGTATATTTATTGATGAAATAGTGCACGGTTGAATTGTTGAGTACATATATATGGGTTCAAAATAATCTCCATTGGAAAGAATCTACTTTCTCCAGCTTAGAAATAAGGTAATCCTAGGATTAAAACCCACAGAATAGAAATGCTTTTTTTTTTAAACTACAAAAGTAACATGTGGCCCTGTCTGGTGTAGCTCAGTGAATTGAGCATGGTCCTGCGAACCAAAGGATAGAGGTTCGATTCCCAATTAGGGCATACGCCTGGGTTGCAGGCCAGTTCCCAGCAGGGGATGCACGAGAGGCAACCATACATTGATATTTCTCTCCTCTCTTTCCCTTCCCCTCTAAAGATAAAAAAATAAAATCTTTTAAAAAAAGTAACGTGTTCCTGAAACCAAATAATTTTTTAAAAACCTGATAATTTATAATCCTCCTACCCTGAAAAGCACTGTCATTATTTTGATGTTTATTTCCATAACTGCTTACACGAGTTCTTTAAAAAAACAAACAAACATAAAAACAATTTTAAACAATTGTTCTTTAAAAACAAACATAAAAACATGAATTTTTTGCTTACCAATATTATCCTTCCAAAATATTGAACACCTCAGAGATACACAGTAATTTATATTACCCATATCTACGACTATAAAAAGTACTGCTATATACTCCTTGCAGTTTTTATTCTGCATATTTTCTTTGGTTATTCCCTTACTGAACATAAATTCCTAAGACGGAAATTCTCACATTAAAAGGTAAACAACATCCTAAGATTTTTTGATGCTTATCACCAAACTGCTCTTCAGAAGTGCTGGGCACTTTCCGTTCCAGTCAACTACATGTGAGCATACACTTTGATGCTCCCCGAGTGAAACCCATAGTTTCTCCAATTCTGACTTATCTGATTTATACAAATGAGATTTTTCTTAATTCTACATTTCTTTGGTAACTGGTCTACATTTAAAAAGCAAATACTTCTAGTCCTAAAATACTCTGATTGCTTTATGACTTAACAGGAAAATATACTTGAAAAGCTTAACAGAGGCCCTCCATTATTTACAAAATATTCGATTAATACTAGGTAATTCTATAATGTTAAAAATAGTGAACTGAATGTTAAAATTTCTATTGTATAGAAATACATTTACACAGGTTATTTTATTTTGTAACTTACTTTCTTACATATTACCTCACTAAAGACAGTTAAAATGTGGTTTTTAAAAAAGAATATACACATTTCTACAGTTTAGGACTGTGACTAGTTCTGCCACTGCCCCTAATTAATAAGGAATTCATTTACAGTGTTCCTGAGCCTCAGCCTTATCAATGGAATAATGATAACAACATAAATCTCCCACACGGTCATCACTGTGAGTGTTATCCTGGAAAACACCATGTAAATCTAACAGCTGGCTGTGATTATAACTATTGTCATCCCTAATAGAAATTCTAACCAATCCTACGAAGAAGCAAGCTGAATGCATACTGTTCTGGTTTGCAAGCGAATTTAGTCTGAAACCAGAGATGGAGATGGGGAGCTCTGACTACCCCCCTGGAGCTGCTGCTGCATTTCACCTCCTCACACTCAGACAGGACAAACCAAATCCATCCTCCTGGAGGGCAGCTTGACTTCTGCTAAATCCACCTCCAACTAAAAACTGATGTTCTTCATGAAATTATTTCTGTTTACCAGTCCTCTGTTAAAAGGTGGGATAGTCTTCTGAAAAGTCTATGTCTAACATACCCCATAAAATAACACTGACCTTTAATTTCTCGAACAAAAAATGATCATGCTACTGGAGATCGAGTTATTCTATTCAAAGGAATGTCTCTACAATCTGCGTAAGAAGTCTTCTCTTAGTTATAACAGACTTTTACTATTTTGAGTGTGTGTTTGGAGAAAGTAGACATGACCTATATTAAAAGTCAGTTATAATTAATGAGGAAACTGTTATTAATTAAAGAAATGGATAAATGCTGACGAAGATGCACAGCCACTTAATTTGCATATTCCTGTGGTTTTTACTAATTTAATTATAGGACTTCACAAATTACAGACCTGCTAAAGTTTCCATCCACCATACCTTGTAACAAAAGACAAAAGCAAAACCACAGCAGAGAGCACTTACTTTTATTCGGTGATCGTCTGTGTCTGCAACTGTTGCCACTCTAATAAACATGGGGTTTCTTTTGTCTACAGCCTCCAGCTTCATTTTTTTCTGGAATCCGTGTGGAGGTTTCTGCCGTAACAGAGAATTTTAGACAGTGAGATTAGAAGAAGAGAAGGCAGGCTCTATGCCACAAAAATAGAATTAAAGACAAAATTAAAAAAGAGGACCCACTTTGGAACCCAGCCTTTCAAACTCTGAAGTTCCAAGAGTGGCTTTGGCATTCAGGCTCCTGATAAAAAACACAATCCCACATCACGTGGCCCATCCCTTAGGCAATACAAACAGCCTGGCCACCTAGCCTACAGGAGCAAATAGAAAACAAAAGATCTTGTGATGAAATTCAAAATATTGTGGTTATTTGATTAGCCATAGGCAAGACAAAATTTTTTTCCTCATTAGTTGGAGGTAACTTGGCAAAAATCAATAAGCATGAAAACGATTTTTTTAAAAAGAGAACATTAAAATGGCATAATTAAGACATGAAGATTAAAGGTAGGAATTCCAGCAAAAAGCAGAAATCTTTTGAAAAAGAAAACAGTGACCTACACATGCAAGACAGAATTGCTCTGGTGAGAACAGGAATGAGAATAAGGACCTGCACCTCAATGCTCAGCAGAAAGCCATAAACCTCTGAAAAAACTACAGGCGGTAGAAGACAAGGCAATTAATACGTATGTTAGGTAAATATATTAAATTTTCTGAACTTCACATCTCTCTTCTGTAAAATGGGTGTAATAAAAGTGTTGCTCTGAAAATTAAACACAAAACTTAGGTGCGGGATACAAAACAATCAATACAAAGGGTCTAAAATCAAACTAGAGAAATCTTTGTTTTCCCTCTGATATCAAGGTGACACCACACATGTAGACTGATCCTGATGTGTTTCTGTCCAGTTCAAAGCAAAGTGCAATGGAGCTCTTCTTTATACTGGCTGAAGTGAGAGCTAGACAGAAATTCGTAAATATGGAATGACTCTAAACATAACTCTTTTTTAAATTCTGAATTTACTATCAGATGGAATCATATACACTCTTCGATATGGCTTTTTCATGTAATATATGTTTTTTTCTCAAAAATTTCTGATGTTCTTTTTTCTATATTTGGGCTCATACCTACTAATCAATCCTATCATTAAAAATTCTAACAATTTATGCACAAAAGAATCATTTAAAGAAAAATGTTCTTTATAACAGACTATGCCACAGTAAAAAAAATTTTAATAGTTAACATCTTTCTCTTCCTTTAAATTTATGTTAAATATAAATTATAAAGCAAGTTGTTTGAAATAGAAAAGTTTTAATTACATTTCATTTCTGATTCTTCCCTCACACAGAAATGAGGTTTACTTTCAATCATAATATGCAAGAAACAATGACCTAGGTTTAGAAAGGTACTATTATAAAAGCAGGTGCCCTTGTATTTTGATAATTAAACAGGCTAATAGCAATAAAATAAAAATAGCATCTCAGTCTGCCATAAGCAAATTCAAAGGAATTATTGAATATAATTTTCATTAGGAAACAATGTCCTGACCTGATTGGTCTTTCAGAATCTGCTGTACACACAACTTACTCCACACTGACGCAAACAGAATTATTTTACAGAAAGATTTAAAGTCCAAAATGAAAGTGTTTTTTAAATGCCAGCAACAAAAACCCAACTAACGATTCGACTTGCAAAACCACAACGTTTCCGAAACATCATCTGGGTGGTCTTCTGTTCCCCTCCCGGTCCTAATCTAGCTCGCCAGACCTATCATTCGCTGTGCTCAAATTTCAGTGAGTGGAGATGATCCCCAACACAAATTAATGAAATATTATAAAATAAATATGTTCTCTCACCACTTTGAAAGCTCTTGCAGGAGCAGGTAAAGAATTGGTTTCTTCTAAGTATTTATCCCAAGAAAAATGCTTCACATTTGGATAACCTAGTAAAAAAGAGTTAAGTCCCATCAGTCCCAAAATGATAGTGAGAACCACAAACTGACCTGTAATATTATAAAGTGCTACCAGTAGAATGTAGGAAGTTATGTTACTATTACACACGATAACTTTAAACTAGTTACACATTCATCATCTCAACCATGATTTCCCTATTCACTTTTTTAAAAAGTGCATGTACAATTTCTCAGGTGAGCACAGAATTACATCACAAGGCACACGCAAACATAAATATCCTTTAGTCATTTTACTTCTAATAATCTATGAAACTCTCATATACATATACAAAGACAATGTACCACTGTTTGTAAATGTGAAAATATAAAAATCAATTAAATGACCATCAATATAGAAATGTACAAGAAGTGTATTGTACACTTCTATAGAAGTGTAGAAATACTTTCTATAGATAATAAAAAGTATTTATTAAAAAGAATGAGATGGATTTACATATACAAATATGTAAAATATTCCAGATATATCTTCACATTATTAGAGCCAACAAGCAAGACAAAATATAATCCAAGGTCTCAGAGCAACTATCGTCCTTCCCTCCTGCCCCTTTTTCCTTCCTCCGAAGTCCTAAATCCATTCGGGAGGCTTGAGCAGGAATTACTGGTAGCCCAGCAGCATGGAAAACTGACTACATAAAGGAACTGAAAAAAAACGGTCAATATATTAGAAATAACAGAAGCCAGATTTCTCACTGACTAAAAAGAGGTATAATTATGAACAGTGAAAAACTCAAACTCAAAAGTGATGAATATGGAGTTAATGATATAAATTAATGGTCATTAATATGTATGACATAGAAACAAATATAATTTTATATATTTACATATTTCCTATATCCCCTGAAAAGCTGGAAGTAGCAACACCCAAGTAGCAGCGAGCACATATAAGGTGCAGATCTTACTTTCTAAGTATCATCCTCTAGTAAAAAGAACAATGCAGAATGGGAGAAATGGCTGACTTCAGGGTGGGGCCAGAGAAAGTATAAGATAACCCTGTGCCAGAGAGAGGAGCATTCTCAAAAACTTGTAAAAACATGTCAAAGCATATAGAAACCAGCTTAGAGGGGCTCGCACCAGCCACATCTGAAAAATCCACACATGAAAATAATGTTAGCAATCAATTATAACCCACTGATGACATCCGTAATCTCTGGGTCCACACTGGTATCAATAAATTAAAGGAACAAATGGGAAAGTGAAAAAGCTATTATTTGCATAAAAATATCAACTCATTATATACAGGGAGTAATAAAATAAGAAAAATGACCATTTAGCAACTTTAGAATAATAATTCATACTAGAAATATCACAACACATGCTAAAATGAGTGAGGAACACAGGTACCAAGTACAGAATTAAACAATCTCAAAGTATCTCCCCAGAAAACACTTATTTATTGCAGAGAAAATAAACTACATTGGTGGAGAAGCCTAAAAAGCACCGTGTTGATCAGTTAATGGTAAAATTCAACCAGTGATGAGACCACCTGACACGTGCCACCTGAAAGGACACATACACTGTTTCTGTGATTTCCTGCCCCAAACACACAACCTGGGTCTAAGCACAAGGACTCACCAAGCACACCCAGATTAAGTAACATTCTTCAAAATGAACAGATGAACCTGCAGTCCCCCAACATACTGAAGTTATGGGTGTCAAGGAGAGCCTCGCTGGGGGAGACTAGAGGGATACAATGACTGAGAGCAACGCTGGATGCTCGTGCTATAAATGACATCACCGGTACAACTGACAAATTTAAATGGGCCTGTGGTTCAAAGGGACGGATAAATTCCATACTATTCCTGCAGCTTTTCTCTACATTTAATGTTGTCCCAAAGTAAAGTTTTCAGAGTAAACACGCAAACCTTTCTGTGTACGCCAACATTTGAAAACATAATTTGAGGACCACGTCTTGCACAATGGAAGTGATGCTGAAGCTGACTTGTATGCATGCCCATCTGCACACACAGAGAGGCAAAACCAGTTTTCTGGAAAGACACAATGACCAGCTACTAAACTATTAAGGGACATAACAGTGGTTGTCTCTCTTCTCAGTCTAAACTGTTTTTTAGAAAGTATGTCTTACCACCCTGGCTGGTGTAGCTCAGTGGATTGAGCACAGATCTGCGAGCCAAAGGATCGTGGTTCGATTCCCAGTCAGGGCACATGCCTGGGTTGCAGGCCAGTTCCCAGCAGGGGACGCACGAGAGGCCACCACACATTGATATTTCTCTCCCTCTCTCCTTCCCTTCCCCTCTAAAGATAAATAAATGAAATCTTTTTAAAAAGTATGCCTTACTATATAATTTGGATAACTCAAAAAAAAAGTCATTTTAAAAGGAATGAAGACTTCAATTTCAGAAAAAGAACAACAGTAGGTGTAGTATGTGATTAGACAGAACACAAATGTGGCCAGCAAAGCTGCTCAGGGGACCGTTCGACAAAATAGCAAGGGTGTCAGGAGGGCAGCTGCCCAGAGACACCAGGGGGCAGGACCCGGTCTTCTGACAGGGATCAGACACCAAGCCCAGAATGTGCCCAGAGCAAACAGGACCAGAGAAATACGCCTGGCTTTGTCACGGAGTGAAAGAGCAGGGTAACATCAGCACGGCCTGCAAACCAGTCTGCTTATCTGGAAGGGTTAAAAAAAAGTGTGCGCGTGTGTGTGTGTGTGTGTGTGTGTGAGAGAGAGAGAGAGAGAGAGAGGGACAATATATAATCACATAAAATTTACCACTTTCACCATTTTTAGGTATGTAATTAGTGGCACTGAGTATATTCACATTGTTTCGCATGAAATTCTGCATTTTCTTAACCTGTCAAAAAGCTATATATTTCCTTCCCTACTGAATGATAAAGTCCGCGGAAGAAGACTGATGAGTTGGTTAAGTGCCTCACACAAGAAATCAGCAGCAATGCCTCACACCTCACATTCCCAGGCTGACCCAGTGCTGCGAAGACATAACCAGGCATCTGTGACTCACTGGTTCTCTGTCTACTTGACAGATCTCTGATCATGACCAAAAAGGCAGTAAGAAAAATTAAGATCCATATCAAATTGGGAAATCGAAAGGAACCCTCACAGCAATTTAGATGATGATGGCGGTGGTGATCACGATTCACCACTCCGGCATTACCTAAGTCAGGACACAGGAAAACTGATTGGAAACCTCCCAGGCAGCCCCACACCTGGGCCATAAAACTATTAACCCCTAGAGCTTTAACACTTCATGGTTTATGTAAATATTCTTTCATCTGCAAAACAGCTCTGTAAACTGGTGAAGGGCAATAGCTTTTGTCCCTTAACATAGGAGAACACTTAGGAAGTGGAAGGGACTTGCCTCACCCATCACAGGGAATGGTTGGCCCCTGAGTGAGTATATGTCTGGACACTAATTGAGGTCCAGGAATAAGCACCTGGGGACAACCCTAAAAAGGAAACCAGCAGTTAGGGTAGAATGAGACAAGTATCTGAAGCTCCAGGTTGAGTCTGCTGCTTACATGCTTCAGGCGACACCCACCCAAGAGCTTCTAGAATCAAGGAGCCATCCTTTCCCTTTGATAACAGAGCCCCACTGCTCACAGGAGTGTCCAGAAGCAAACACCCATAGCCAAGTGACATGTCATTAGCTGACGACCCTGTCTGTTCATATCGGTCATAGTCACAGCACCTTAAATAGTGATGCTCAGAAACTCAATGTCACAATTATGATGAAGCCACAGAATCTATTCTTCATCACAAGAAATAAACTCAAATTGACATAAAACCGGACTATCTACCAGCAGGTGGACTGTTGCCTGTGAAAGAATAAGCAAGCTGAGAAGGCACTAGGCCGGGGGCAGATGCTGAAGTACCTGAAAACTTCAGATACCAGAGTCGGCCAACGACCACCTGCAGGCCACCTGCCTCTTCCCAAAAATCCCGTTTTAGTGTAACACAACCATGCTTATGCGTTTACATATTTGTCTACGGCTGCTCTTCTGTTTCATCTCAATTGAACAGTTGTGGGAGAGGCTGTATGGACTACAAGTCCAAAACATTTACGAGCTGGTCCTTTACAGAAAAGGTTTTCTGACCCCTGATATACGCGAATATTGTCAGGCATGTAGCACACACAAACCTGGAGGAGTGATGAGCGTTCTTCGATGTTCTTTACACCAGCCGACTGGATGAATGTGTGGGCTAGATGCTTCACACCTGCAAATTACACAAAGTGAAAATTGTAATCATCAAGGTGAATTGCCAAATACTAGTAAAAGTAAAAAAAAAAACACCACCTGAATTAGAGATTGTGAGCACCTTATTACAATCTACTTTATTGAAAAAAAACTGCAAAAACTCATCCAATATATTAATACAAGAACTGATCATCGCCTTTATCAGTGTAAAGGTCATTAGCATTATCTCTGATAAGAGCTGTTTAGGTGGCACTGGGATCGGGCAAAAGCCTGCTTCAAGTGGGTTCTAGAGAAAAAGGAAGAAGATGGAGACAGCCAGCACAGAAAAGATGTTTAAGGAGTTCTGTTTTCAAAAGAAGTGGATATATAAGACATTAGATAGCAAAAGGAAAGTTTTTTTTTAATTTATTAGTTTGAGAGAGAAACACTGATTTGTTGTCCCACTTATTTACGAGTTCATTGGTTGCTTCTTGTCTGGGCCCTGACTGGCCAGTGAGCCCACAATGCTGGCATATCAGGATGGTAACTCTAACCAACTGAGCTACCCGGCCAGGGTCTGGTCTTCTGGGCGGGAAGGGAAACCTTTAAGGGAAGCTGGGTAAGGTACATATGGAAATTGTCTGTACTGTTTTATAGACTTTAAGTTCAGAATTATTTCAAAGTAATATTTTTAAAGGGTGTGAAATATTACATCATTTATTCAAGAAATACATGCTGAGCAACCACCTAGACCAGGGCACCATTGTAGGTGCTAGAACTATAACAGCTATTACACAAACAAAATCCCTGTTCCACGAGGGTCCTAGTAAGAATAACTCAATAGACAGAGTGACCTACTGATGCAGAGGAGTCAAAGGAACTGACTCCAAGACAGGGAATGGAATCCTGTGCTTCAGAACAGGGCTCCGTCACCCAGGGTTACAGAAAAGGGCCTGTCTATGGGCAGAGATTAGGAAGGCACTCCGTAGACGTGATGTCCGAAGCGTGTGGACATCTCTTCTGATTGTATTTTCTCAGTGAAATAGGAAACAAGGTTATCAGCTGAGAGGGAAAATAGAGAAGGGGGTGTGAAAACTCTGAGGGGAAAAGCGGAGTGAAAATTTAGTGGTCTGGAAGACCAGACAAGGATCTGGAGCAGGATGATGGGGCAGAACCAAGGGCCCACTCGGGTCAGCAGTCACAAAGGGGAAGCCAGAGCAGTCAGCGTGTTGTCTTTCTCCAGCTGTATGCAACTGTGCACGCACAGGCACACAGCGGGCAGAAGGCTGGACGCAACCGGAGCTGGGATTCTGCCAGGCAAACACAGTATTCAAGGGAGTAGTTATAGTAGTATTACAAAATATAGGCACTAGAGGTGTGTCATAATTAATAACTTTTTTTAAAAGTTGATATATTTTTGACCTTTGTCCTCAAAAATAACAGGCATAAATGAAGCAAAAAAAAAAATCAGGGTCAGAATATTTCAGGAAAATACTACATCTCCCTCTTAGAGATTTACAGAGCACATCATTAGCATATTAGATTGTGAAGTTATAATGTGAACAGACCAGTTTCAAATGGTTTTAACCTAGCATTTCCTAAAGATACTTCCCTATGAAACGCTACTTTGGTAGGCAACCCATTAATATCATGTGGAGCACTAATGCTCTGCAGAAACGACTTAGGAAATGTTGGTCTAAAGGATGCCCAGGACTCCAGTCTTGCCTTATCATCCAGGTATGTTGAGCCCATCCCTTCTGGACCATGGGATTTCAACACAGCCCTCTAGGTGGGAAACCAGAAGACAGAAAGCCAGGAAGGTCACAGTGGAGTTCCTGGTGAATACAAGTCTTACAAGTAGTAAAAATAAAGACCTTTCTAGGAAAAGTTTTAAGTGAATGGCATTAACATACAGTCATCCCTTTCTAAATCAACCTTTCCTAGTGACCAACCCTAAAGAATAACAGAAGGTGAGTTTATGTAACTCTGACTTAATGCTGATTATTCTCAAAATAATTTTAGTAGAAAATACCTTTAAATTTAATTAAAGATTTCATCCTTTCTTCCTTTATTCACTTACCTCCTGCCCACCCTACCCCACACTATTAGTTTTCCTTATCTATATATTAGGCTTACATGTCTATGTGTAGGTCATGCTAGAAATTTGAAAGGAAAATAAGCAAGGTTAGGTCAACATGAAGTTCATACAGCAATTGGTACATTTCTTAAAATATATATTTTCATAAAAGATATTTTAATACACAATTCCTTAAGGTGTATTGTTACAAACTGTATGAACAAAGCTATGAAGCTCTATTTCCAGCTACATTATTCTTTTCCTAGGCAATCATTTAGTTATGAATTATTAGTAATGATGTATCACCTTTATTTTAGAAATATTTTTATTTTAGGAACAGCTGTTAACTCATATAGTGCTTATTTAAAATTTAAAAAAAGGTAACGTTTGCTTAACTTTTTCCCTTCCAAGCTAATACAATTATCAAGTGCTTTTTATAATCATCTGCCAAGTTCGTGGTGATTAAAGCAGGAGCGTTCGTTAGACATTACTAGTTCTTTCCATTTTTATTGGATTTCTTTATAAATTGCAATTAAGGAAAATACTGTGGCATATTTGACCACACATCCCTGCACTGCCTGAATCTTGTAGCATAAGGTTGTAATATTATCTAAATCTTGACCAAAGTCACCATTTTACATAAACAAGGAAGCCAAATCAACAGAAAAGATAAAAACCACCTTATTCTCAACTAGCTTACTTATACTCTCTCAATAAGCGGTCACGACTGCAGCAGAGGCTGGAATGCTGTGAAGCCATTTCTGCCACTACCGTAACACATGTCAGCTCTTAGTCCCATCTAGTGTCCAAAAGCAGAAATGTAACCACGAAGAAACAGCATGAAGAACAGCTGGTGGTAAAAGTTGGATGAATCTTTGACTGCTGTACTTCTCATTTCTTTCTTTCGGTTTTTAAGTGTGTCATCGAACCAGTCCAATTCAAAAAAGGTGTTTTTTTTTTAAAGTTTGTTTCACAAGTGCAAATTAATCATGATGAAGTCTGCTAAGATAAAATCAGACCCAGATTGGTAGATAATAATAGAAATAATAATTCTTAAATGATCCATGTTTATAAATGTAAGCATAAAATGAAGAGACATTAAGATCCTCATTTTATGGAAGCAGAAAGTGGCTGATTTCACCAAGCCCTTGGGTTGAAAAGATAAAGATCCTGGTTTTATCGGGCTCAGCCGAGCGCTAAATAAAACTAATGCACATAAGCACTGGGCCCCCACAGATCCAGACAGAGAGACAAAAGACCGTTTCGAGGTGCTTACATAAGGAAAACATCAAAGTTTTCATCTCAAGCAATAATGGTTCAGCTTCTTGAAGAAACACAGGACACTTGGCCCTTCCCACTCTCTAAATCCAGAGCATGATGACTCTGTCAGTTTACTTTCCTGGCTTCCACTATTGCCAACTCTTCAAGTTGGAGGGCTGCCTCTATCACTGTTTTACTGCTCAGCCCTGAACCTCATCAGGTTGGGTCATCTAGTTCTCCTTTTATCTCCAATTCATTTCCAATCCCATTCCCCACAGTAGCTGTTTTCAATATTCTGCATTTCCTGCAAGCATAACACCCGATTCTCAAACACAGTGACTACTTGGAAAAGCTAAAGGAGATGCCATCTCATTCCTCTAAGTTTTCCTTTCAGTTCTTCACTTTCTCCAGGCTGAGAGGGAAGAGTGTCTTCCTTCCCAAGGTGAGCCTGCCCAAGGGGACTGGTGTCCCCAATTATTCAGTCCTGGATATCTCCACTCTTTTCCCTCCACAGTCTGGCCTGTCACCAGGCTGACTCCACCCGGGCAGAAAACCCTCCTCAGAGGTTGACTCCCCCTCAAGTAATAATCCACTTCCACCTTCGGTGCTAAACTTCAGCTGCTTGATGTCCCTTATAGTTAGTCATCTCTTTAACCTTTTGCAAATTGGTTTCTGCTTCTAAACCTCTTATTTTAATCCTCACATCACCCTAGGAGAAAGGTATTGAATATTATTATAAATCCTTCTCGTTAAGGGGGCAACTGAATCTTAGAAGCGTTAAGTCACTGAACTGAAACAGACTGGCTGCCGTTTCCCAAACACGCTCTTGTCAGTTTCCCCAACCCCCATGCTGAGCTTAAACACAGGCTTTTCCTAGACCAGGAAAATTCCATCCCAAGATCTAAGTAGATTCCTATCTACCAGTAACAAAAGTACAGAGGAACCCAGAAGTAAACCACTATATATTTGCTGTAATATATACTATTTTATTTTTACAAAATACTATTCCAATTTTACATAAATTTAAATCCCACAAAGTGTTTCTCTTTGGAAGAAATGTTTTATTGTAACTAAACATATAGTAACACAAATGTGTGTGTGTGTGTGTGTGTAAGTTCCCACTAAGGTAAAGAAATAAAAATCACTATTCAATTCAAAGGAAGGAAAAAAAATCTCATTTCCGAACTGTTATAAATTGGGAAAAGCAATCTAATTTGTAATCTCGATTATGTACCTAAGTAAGTAATTTATGCAGCAAAGAAAAACCATTCCAAAATTCAGGGATTGAAGAACACAATATTTAATAAGGCTAGAGAAATTCCAGTGCACTTAAGCAATTTTCAATGTGCCTAACATGCACAATGAAGAAGAGAACACACTGTATTCTTTTCTGATAATTAAAATATAATTCATGTCAATAGTTAGAGGTATAAATAAATCCTCAAAGTATATTCTACCCTAAAAGTGATTGTTCTCTGCTCATAAATGTACAAAATCAGAGCTAAAAATCACTTTTTTGCCTGCTCTTTCTAAAAAAGAACTCAGGATTCTTCCTATTCTCTAGGCAGCTGGCATCAAAGAGAAGCGACTGTACAAATTCTTCTTGTGACAAACTTGCCTACATTTCCTCATCACTATTTTCCAGAAGTATATTTTTAAAGGAAATAGATCTTATGTCAAATAAGCAACTTATCTTTTAAAACCCTGTAATACTTATGAGACCACAAAAATAACTAAACATTTACCTACTTTGTTTAAATCAGGCAAAAGCTAAAAACAAAACCATTCTCCCTAAATGAATGAGAACATTAAAAACAAAAAGCTCTCATTTCAACAAATTGTAGTAACTGCTGCAAAGTATCATTTATTAACCAAAGGCCTCGACCCCGGTCATCACATCGGTACCGCCAGCACAGGGTATCAATCGCAGGTGGGGCGACACATATTTGCCCCACGAGAGGCAGATAACAGTATTTCTAAATGTAGTTTCCTCATCCATCCCTTTACTCGTGACAGGTATGAATGATTTTACATGAAACAAAACCACCAATTCACAGGGCATGTGAAGAACAGAAGAACACAGCAAGGATTAGGACAAGGATTCAGTCAGCACAGCCAGACTGTGGGACACCCGACAGGCCCAACAACCTGGTTTCTTCAGTAATGGTTACACGAGAAGAAAAAGATAAAGAACTGGAATCTATATGTTAAAAGACATCAAGAGGCACATCAAAGCAATCACGAAGTGTGTACCTCATTACCTCATTTGCACCCAAAACCATCGAACTAAAACAAACAAAACCCAAGTCGATTGGGAAAAATGTTCAAATATGTTAGTAACATTTTAGCATTTATAACATTATATATTTAGGAATAATAAATCCCTACTTTATAAGACACATACTGAAACATTCACAGATGAAATGCTATAGTATCTGAAATTTGCTTTAAAACAATCCTGGAGTTTGTGTTTTAGGGTAAGAACACAGAGAAGACAAGAGTGAACACAGATTGGGAAGTGCCGGTGCTGGCGATGGCTGCAGGAGGTCACTGTGTTACTCCTCTTTGGTGTGTACCTGAAACGGTCTCTGTGTCGACAAACGTCTTAGTGCAAACTAAGTAAGAAGACATCCTACAAGGTAAAATTATGCTTTGCAGAAAAAAGCTGGGGTAAAACACACCAAAATGTGAGTCTGTGATGTAATCACAGAATTACTTATTTACATTAAAAGTATTCTGTAAAAAGGGTATGTAACATATAACAAAAAGGATTTTAAAAATCAAATAGCAAATGACTTTCAGTGTCTCTTTTATAAAATAATGCAAGTAAACCTGATGTATGTCTAAGAATTCAATTAGAGGAGTAAAGCACATTATTAATGCCTCCGTTGAATATTTAAATATATATACACTACAAAACTGGAAAGCTTCCCTGAACTTTAGTAACATTTATACAAATTAATATTCATTTGATACGGTAACGTTAGTTATATTTCATAAATACATCTGTCACTTCTCTAAAATATTCTCATTGTAAGTTTTCTCTAGAAGGGCTGTGTATATTGTGCACTCACCTTTTAGTGCACATTACACATGAGATTATTATACCCATTATATACTTATGGTATGTAATCATTATATCCATGTATAAGGCACACCCTTACTTTTCCCTCAAAAGTTTGGGCAAAAAAGTGTGCATTATCACAGCAAAACATGGTAAACACTTTAGAAATGCCTTTCATCAAGAAATAAATTGTAGTGATCAATGAATATAAATTAGATATGGAAAATCATTAATTCAGTTACTTAATCAAAATAGAATGGCTTTATTATAATTATTTTATAATATGTCACTTCTACTATTTTATGTAATATATCTAAACACAATAAGGATTTAAAAATATTCCTTAAAATATTTGTATTGTTATTATGAATTATTAAATTAGCTACCAGCCATAAAATATGAAGAGACAAATGCAAATTATTTTTCCAAGAGGAGAAAAGAAAACTGTCATTGTTTGCAGATGATATGATAGTGTACATGCAAAACCCTACAGACTCCACCCCAAAACTGCTTGAACTAATTAATGAATTTGGCAAAACAGTGGGATAGAAAGCCAATATCCAGAAATCAAAGGCATTTTTATATGCCAACAATTAAACAGCAGAAGCAGAAATCAAGAAAAAAATTCCATTCGATCTAGCAAAAAAGAAAAATAAAATACCTAGGAATAAACCTAACCAAGGAGGTAAAAGACCTGTATACAGAAAACTACACAACACTGAAGAAAGAAATCAAGGAAGACACAAACAAATGGAAACATATACTGTGTTCATGGATTGGAAGAATTAACATCATCGAAATGTCTGAAATGTCCATACTACTCAAAGCAATTTACAGATTCAATGCAATACCTATTAAAATACCAATAGCATATTTCAGACATAGAACAAACACTTCAAAATTTTATATGGAATCATAACCAACCCTGGATAGCAGCTGCAATTTTAAGAAAGAAGAACAAAGTAGGAGGATCACAATACCTGATATCAAACTGAATTACAAGGCCACTGTAATTAAAACAGCCTGGTAGTGGCATAAAAACAGGCACATAGACCAATGGAACAGAACACAGAGATGAGAAATAAACCCAAGTCTCTACAGTCAAATAATATTTGACAAAGGGGGCAGCAACATAAAATGGAGTAAACATTGTCTCTTCAACAAATGGCATTAGAAGAACTGGACAGCTACGTGCAAAAAAATGAAACTTTAGCACCAACTTACACCATACAACAAAATAAATTCAAGGTGGATGAAGCACTTAAATATAATATAAGCTGTGACACCATTAAAGTCCTAGAGGAGAACATAGGTAGGAAAATCTCAGATATTTCACACAGCAACATTTTTACTGATGTGTCCTCTAGAGCAAGGGACATAAAGGAAAGAATGAACAAATGGTATCTCATCAAAATAAAAAGCTTCTGCATGGCTGAAGAAAAAAGTACTAAAATAAAAAGAGAACCAACTGTATGGGAAAACATATTTGCCAATGAGACCTCAGACAAAGGTTTAATCTCCAAAATATACAAAGAACTTACACTATTCTACTCTAAGAAGACAAGCAACCCAATTAAAAAATGGGCAAAGGACTTGAACAGACATTTCTCCAAGGAGGACATACAGAACATCCAGAGACACATGAAGAGATGCTCAATATCGTTAGCTATCAGAGAGATGCAAATTAAAACCAAAATGAGACACCACTTCACACCAGTCAGAATGGCCATCATAAACAAAGCAACAAACAAATGTTGGAGAGGTTGTGGAGAAAAGGGGATCTTGGTTCACTGCTGGTGGGACTGCAGACTGGTACAACCACTATGGAAAACAGTATGGAATTTTCTCAGAAAACTAAAAATGGATCTGCCTTTTAACCCAGCAATTCCACTGTTAGGAGTATATCCTAAGAACCCTGAAACGCTAATCCAAAATAACCTATGCACCCCCAATGTTCATAGCAGCACAATTTACAAAAGCCAAGAGTTGGAAGCAACCTACGTGCCCATCACTAAATGAATGGATCCGAAAACTATGATACATTACACAATGGAATTCTATGCAGCAGAAAGAAGGAGCTCCTACCCTTTGCAATGGCATGGATGGAACTGGAAAGCAATACGCTGAGTGAAATAAGCCAGGCAGTGAAAGACAAATACCATTATGATTTCACCCTTAACAGGAACCTAAACAACAAAACAAACAAGCAAGCAAAATATAACCAAAGACACTGAAATAGAGAACAGACTGACAGTGACCAGAGGGGAAAGGGGAGGGAATTTCAGGGGAAAAAGGGGGAAGAATTTACAGGAACAAGTATAAAGGACACATGGACAAAAACTAAAGGGGGTGGAAATGGGAGAGAGGTGGGGAGCACTAGCGGGGTGAGCTGGGATGGGAGTAAAAGACAGAAAACTGTACTTGAACAACAATTAAAATAAATAAATTAAAAGAAAGAAAAAGAAAATTATTTTTCCAAAAAATAAGAGATGACACCCAGGGTGCAGGGGAAACTGTGAGTCTGTGCGTGCCTCCCAGGGTCAGCATGCCAGGCGGGGTGTGCACACTGTGCTTCCACAGGAGCGAGTCAACTAAAAGACAAATCATGAAGCAAAACTCAAGGATATTGTTTAGAAATACACGCCATATGGGACAGGTAAAAAGTTGTAAATCTGAAATGAAAAAGAGTGGGGCAGCAGTATTGTTTTCTGTTCTAAGCTTCACACTATAATTGCTTTTAAACCATGGTTTACTTGGATAAACACTAAATTAGGGAAAGCACACAGAGCAATGGAAAATGTCTCACCAATAGTCATAGCTCTCATCCCAGTTGTCAAAATGTACCAGGAAACGATTGTCCACCATATCTGTTACCGTAGCAACACAGATAAATGCAGGGTTCTTTTTGTCTACAGCTTCAAGCTTCATTCCAACTCGAAAGCCTGATGGGATCACTGTCTATGAAACATACAGATTTAATTAGAGATAAGCACACACCCGACAGCCAGCCCCGCACCCTCTCTGCACCTCTGCTTGAAGGCCTGCCATCCATCAGCTGCATTCACGTAATTTGAAAATCATGTACCGATTTTACAGCAGGATCGCTTTCCAACAAGCAGCAGTAAGAAAAATACCCTGTTGCTACACCCAATTAACTGTCCCATTTAACTATCTGGAACTCAAAACTAAAACACCCACAACCTCATAGAGTTTAATTAATATTAATATGTGTTTCGGTGCCTTGGACAACTGTACTCGTTAGGCATGTTTTATTCACCAGATACGTTTACTTCCTGTTTTTCTCCTCCTTGACTATAGAGTTAACAATGAGAATTATGTCACACAAAATATGTACTTAATCAAGTTAAAAATGTGTATGAGTCAGTACAAATTCACTCCCACTTCTGAAAAGATCTCTCAAAAGAGTACTCTACTGAAAGTAGGTCATCTTCATAAATCAAACGCTGCAAATTATTACAACTTGTACTTTACACTACCGATATTATCCGCAACAGCACCCAAAGAACTGGCTATCAATATATACAGCCATTCAAAGACAGTTTGTAATAGATGGGCATTCGTAGATTATCAGCCATCTGGAACATGAAACTAAAATAATAAAAATTCAATAAAACTGTCCTGGCTGGTGTAGCTCAGAAGATTGAGCACAGGCTGTGAACTATAACGGGTTGCCAGTTCGATCCCCAGTCAGGGCACACACCTGGGTTGAGGGCCAGGTCCCCAGTGAGTGTGTGAGAAGCAACCACACATTAATGTTTCTCTCCCTCTTTCTCCCTCCCTTCCCCTCTCTCTAAAAATAAATAAATAAAACCTTTAAAAAATAAAAATTCAATAAAATAAATGTAAACGTTCCTTAACATCTTCTGTGAGGAAAAATATCCTAATCTCAGAAAAGTGTACTTAGATATTAGTTTTACCTATCACAATACTGCTGTACTTCTAAAAAAAAATCTTCTGTCCATACTGAAGTATCCTGATACAATTCTAATTATTGTAAGCAAAACAGATGCTGTCTCTCTTTTTACTATAATTGTGCTGCTATCATTACAAAAATGCAGATAGCCATGTACCTGAAAATTAAAAATTAAGTACTGTCTAAATTGAAGAAGCAGTCATTAATGCGACAGAGACACCTTCACTGTAACTTCTAAGTCCTGAAATTACTAATCAGAGTTTTGACCATAAATGTTTGAATATTCTAAGGTAGAGGAATCTAGAAATAAAAAAATCAATTGCTTCTTAGATACCAGTCACACAGTCCAACACATTAAGCTGTGTACTAGCAAAGCATGAGATTTAAGAAGACGGTTTAAAGCAGTCACTCAAACCCCCAACTGAAGTCTTCATCAGGGAACCAGACAGGGATTAGGAAACTCGGGAGCGGAGAGAGCCGGCCACTGAGTTTTCCACCTGACTGGCCTTGTCTTGACAGAGAACACCCACCAGAAGTGCAGTATTGACATTTCGGCAATGCATCTGTCCTTTCAATTAAAACACTTGAATGTATGAACCCAGCTCATTTTCTCTCTATTAGCTAGCTAGCTAGCTACCTACACACACACACACACACACACACACACACACACACACACACACACACACACACATGCGTGCATGCCTCTCTTCAGTTCTCTAATTCCACCAGGCTTATGTTCAATTCGATCAGAGAATCTTTTAGGCATTATATTGATGCTCAAAACAACTGGGTAAAATCATTTCCCAAATGGAGGTTATCTGGACTGGGGGAGAACGTTTTCCCTTGATCCTTGTATTTATCCCATTTGGAGGGAACATTAATTGAACTTTGCTGCCTCTTTCCACATTTCCACTCACTGGTGCCTAGAGGATCTGGGAGATGGAGCTGGTCGTACTCTGCAATATAAGCAGTGCCACGGGGTGTGTGCTTTCCACTTATGCTCCTCTAGGGGGCGGCTCTGTTCTTGTGGGTGGGTATGTGGTGTGCTTTGCTCCAGGGCTCCTAGGTTTTGGTAGGGCAGTGGGAGGGGCCAGTAAATCTCTTTAATTCTAGGGCTCAGAATCAAGAAGCTCAATTGATAGCAAATATAGGCCATGTAACTGAGCTCTTATCAGTTGTAAAGATAATATTTTGGTGTTCTACCCACTTCCTCTCAATTCTTTTCAGTTTGATCAGCACTTGGGCCAGGAAGAATATATGTACAGTATCAGGCCTCCTCAGAGATGCCAAAGGTAAAGGACAGTAGTAACACAGGTCAAGGAGAACACACGTACATCCAGATTGTGCTTCTGTTACAATAAGGCTAACACTGCAGTGCAGGTAAATCAGTCTCTGGCATGTCAATCTAAATGGGGCGACATTTATTACACTACAGAATTACACTACATTTATTACACTACAGAATCCCATCTGGACAGCACTCTAAACAAGTAACAATAACAACAAAGCATCCCATCAATTTAATTTTTTAATGCACCTTAATTGTAAATTACATCTGTATTTTGTACTATGCTGCCTTCTCCCATTCAACAAAAAAAGGCAATGATATAACTATGAAATAGATATTTATGAAGATTTTAAGCTAATTTTAAAGTTTAACTAAGGTAAGAGTACTCTACTTACCAAAGCAATGAAATTTGTTATAGTGTCTTGTTATCACCTGTAATTTATCCTATGAAACAATTGTAATTTATCCTATCCAACAGCTACTTTTTTTTCCCCAAAGAAAATGTATTTTGGATGTACTTACTATATTCTGATTCTCAAACAATGATTTGGGAGCAGCTTGAGCTTTGCATGTCTTCAGATAAGTCTGCCAATTAAATTCTTCTTCTTTATAACCTAGGGTAAGAACACAGAAACAGACTCAGTAACATATCAAAAATAGCTCACACTTAGTTTTCTACTCCCACTTTTACCTGTAACTCCAACTTGCCAAAATCAGGAGATCAAGTAATTTTTTTAAGAATAAAACTTAAAACATAATTCATAACTATGAATTTCTATACACAGGTCATGTTTATTTACAATGATTTACATATATTTTTTTTCAATGCTGAATGATGGTAATAGGTCTTTTTTAAAAAGTGTAAGGAAGCAAATACACATTATACTTAGGGGCTCTTCCTTTCATTTCCCAGTCACTTCTTATCAATATGTAGGTAGAACTCCTTAGCAGGAGACTAGTGATCTACAATAGTCAAATTCTTTATTTTTCCCCTCAGTATTCTATTTTAGGAAACTAATTTGTACAAATGGGAAGCTGGGAAAACAGTAACAGAACAGATAAAATCTTTCTGGTCTATCACCAAAGGACTGATAATTCAAGATTTATGAAGTCAGCGCATTGGTAAATTACAATAATGGGAATGTCCTTGCCTTAATTTTCACAATTTCATGTTTAATGTTGATAAAACCAACATTTCCTTTAAAAAAGGGTATCTAGCATTTTACTTTATCTGTTCATTTGCTCTCTTTCTATTTTCTTTAAAGTCCATAAGACCGCAAGAAAAGAACAGCTAATAATTCACCATAGGGTAAGAGGTCAATTTACATAAAGGTTTACAGATTTTATTTTTTGCCCTCATTTTTTCTATGTGTTTTTGTTTAATACTTCAGCCATTTGGAAATACCGTTTTGCCATTAATTTTTCAATTAAAACCAAAGGACAGCTAGTCCATCAAAAAACAGTAACACTGACACAGGCCAAAAATAAACTAGTAACCTAAATCTTTGATATCATGTAAATACTGTCTGTAGCAGCTCAAAAAGAAAGAAATAAGGTATTATTAAATGAAGATGGACTAAAAAGATGGTATCTGTTATTTTTAGATTTTCATACAAACATGAAACAGGCAAAATCATGGGCAGATTATAATATAAAGCACTCAGTAATTAAAAAGTCATTGTTACTAGTTCAACCACAGCCTAAACCAATTTTTAGTGTTATACTGAGCTTTATAATCCCCTAAATATTAACATCTGTAAATTTAATGCATAATTTTTTAGATTTTCCTATATACAGAACTATCAGTAAATAAACTTAGTTTTGTAAACAGGTTAGAAGTAATTCTTAAATCAATTTATATATATATATATATGTAGCTAAAATTTATTGGTATTCCAAATTAAGTATCATACAAATGTTATTTTATGTGCAAATAAATACATGGACATATGGTAGTTTATTCTCTTCAATAGGATTCTACTTTTTTCTTTCACTTTAATGAATGTATTTTTAATTGTGGACAGTAAGCTTGAATTTGGGCCTACTTGAATTATAAAGCTTGATTCTTAAAAATTCCAAATTAACATGTAAAAAAGTAACTTTTTATAGATTTAAAATATGAAAGAAAAAAGTACAGTACCTTTGGGAGGATGGAGCTTATGGCCAGTTTTCTCACACCACCCAACTGGGTGAATGTCCAGAGCGTCTGCATTTACCCAGAAGTCATAGCAATCTGAATATCCGTCAAAGTGCAACTTTACCCGGTATCCACACACCTGAAACAGGTGACAGTTGATTGATTAAAAACCAAGAGAAAACGACTCAGAATACTTGTGTACGTGGACATCTATTATGAAACAGTTTATGTTAACTGAAGTACCCTCATTTGGAGCAGCACAAACAAGCAAACAAATGACAAAACGTGAAGGCCAAGGCTACTGTGTATACGAGAAATGCTGAGCCTCTGTGTTCTGGCCTTATCTCCACTTCCACCAGGAGCATGTGGATATGGGACGAAGATACTTTTCTGACATATACACATCCCCTTTCATCTGCTATGTTGTGCCAGCATGTGTCGCCATGGAGAGCAGCAGGGAAGCAGCCAGCCCAGCACAGGGGGCACACCGCCCCTGCAGTGTCCCAGGGTGGAGGCGTCACTGCACACTGTCTGCATGCAGGCTCCTTGTCCTTTACACAGCTCCACACATGGTGAGATCCAGCCAGACCAAGACTGGTGCACACACACAGAAGCCCAACAGACCCTCCTCTCTACCAGCTCTTGAGTTGGCAGAAAGAAAGGAAAGCCTATGCAATGCATGCGTAGGTGATACAGGCTCCCTGGAATGCCAGTAAAACCACTTCGCGTGACCCACATTGAAAGCTAAGGAAGTACATATGCTGAAGGGTGGCAGCTGGGGAAATTCCAAGTTAAAAAGGTCACATGGGTCTACGGAGTCTCAGCTGGGTCATGCTCTGCCTTGGGCTTTTCGAAAGAAGCCCAGCCTCTCAATCTTCCTTCCCCCTAGCACAGCAGATGTGTTCCAGTGGAACCACACACCACACCGGACCTCTAGACACTCCAGGAGCACCCGCCCTGCAGAAGCCTGAACACGAAGCCTGAGATGGGAGCCCAGAGCCAGGGCAACAAACAATCCCCAAAAAGAAAATAAGCTGTACTGTTACTGCCATGGCAAGTCTTCTAAAACAAACAGTAGAAGTTGAGTCGGGTAATGAGAAAATTGTGTGTTGAGTCCATGTGTACATGTTTATATGTGAATATCATGATGCATGTACACAAACACATAAGTATGTGTATCACACACATTTATATACAGTTACATGTACATGTCATATAGTCTACAAGACTATATGCCAAATATTAACAATAATTTCTTCTGAGAAATGGGAGTGAAAGGAAGAGGCAAAAGGGAGTGATGAACTTTTTATATTTTATCTTATATATTAGTATTTTTTTCAGTGAGAATGCATTGCTATATTATATAAAATTTACAACTGAGCTGACCCCCCAGAGAAGAGACTAGTGTCCCTCTGTAGACCAGGGACTGGGATCCCGAAAATACAATCTCCCAAGATGGGTAGGTGGCTGTCCCACGGCTGACATCCACCCCAAGCCAAGGAGCTGCTTCTCTTATAAGCCTGAGAGCTGCACAAACCTACTCTGCTTTACACTCAGTTGCCTCTGGTCAGTGGCTAAGAAATAAGCCCCTTTATTAATCTATTCTTCTAGTCTTTCAGCATCACCTCTGAGCTTTTGTCCCTGACAACCTCCCTCTGTTCCCCCCCATCTCTCTCCTATGCCTTATGGACTCTGGAACCCCATGCTTTGGTAAACTGTCTCCTACATCCTCAACCTCCCTGCTCAAAGGCAATTTAACTGTTCCTTCCCAAGCCATTCCTCAAGTGGAGGCTGCTCCTTCGCCTGCTCTCCACCCCTCTGAGGCCCGTGCCATGAGGCTGCACCACACTGCCCTTATCATCCTGTGCGCTCCTCCCCCAGCCGTCCCCTCCCACTCATCAGACATGACCCCTGGCTTACTCTTCTCTACTCTGAGTAGTTCCATCATGCAGATGGGTGCCTCGTCGGATACCCTGGACCCTGGCTCCCTGCATTTCCTCTCTATTTCAGGCACTGTCCTCCATGGATACTATCTCATTTAGAAACTGCACTGCCTCTCGACTATTAAATGTCTACCCTACAAAGACCTCTTCTATTCAGTTTGCTAACCCGGTTGTTCCTAGGACACCTCCTCCTCAATCTCAATGAAAACTCCAGCATCTTATCACATTGATCCTTCCACTTTTTCCCCAGCAAGCCCCCTCACTCCAAAAGTCTTCCTACCTTGGCAATTACTTAACACATTTTCTTGCCAACACTTTAAAACTGTTGCCCGGGAGTCCTTCCCTAAACATTCTCCTGACAAAATCCCAATCTCCCAAATATGCACCGATTATGCACCTACACCTGGTCTAGGGACTGGTGCTGAGGGAAAAAAGAGACAACAGTCAATCCTCATTATTCACAGGTTTTGTATCTGTGAATTCACCTAATTTGATAAAATTTATTTGTAACCCAGAAATAATATGTGTGGTACCTGGATATAGGTGCATGCACAGCATAGCAGAAATTTGAGTGGGCCTTCAGGCCAGGTCCCAGATAAGGTGAGGTAAGGCCATGCTCTGCCGCTTGTTTCGGGTCTCACACTGCTAGCAGGTGCCTCTGCACAGTCTATTTAGTGCTGTGTTTTTTAAGCTTGTGATTTTTGTGGGTCAGTTTGTTGTTTAAAATGACCTCCAAGCACAATGCTGAAATGTTGGCTAGTGTTCCTAAGTGTGAGGGCTGTGAGGTGCCTCACAGAGAAGGCAGGTACGCTAGATAAGCTTCACCAGGTATAAGCCCCCTGGCCGTGAATTCAATGTTAATGAATCAACAGCAGATATTAAATGGTATGTTCTCTAAACAGAAACACATAAACAAGGCCACATATTAATCAATTGACAAAAATGTTGTGACCAGAGGCTCACAGGTACCTAACCTTTTAATTCTCTTAGGAACAACAGTTCAGTATTTGCTGTTTATGAACTATATCTAATTCAATGAGAACTGAATGTTCCTGTATCCTGGACTCTCCCTATTGAAGAGCAATCCTTCCAGAAGGGCCTGTTTAGTTCCCACTCCCATTCTTCATATCTTTTAAAAATCATTTCAATCCTCCTCCCTTCTCCTTCACTTACAAACTCCATCCTCACTCTAGGCTGATGATTTACCTTCCATGGAAAGGGCGTCCCCTCCAATGCCTGCCTACAAACTGGCAAGCCTCCTTGTGCACACGCCCCCATCCCTCCAGAGGTAACTCAAGGAGAGACTCCTCCCCCTGGCTAAGGCTGAACCTCCTCAAACACCCTAGATCCCCCTTCTCCTATCCTGGTCTTAACAGTTATCTGCTCCCTAGTGGCTTCTTCTACACTCACTAAGAGTGAGTGTAGAAGAAAAACTGAGAAAACTTTTTTGGAGCACAAATAGCAACATGCATGAAAAACTTTAATGCCTGTAAATATATTCACACATGCCGGGTTGGGGCACATGCCGGGTTGCGAGTTTGGTCCCCAGTCAGGGTGTGAACCAGATGCAACCAACTGATGTTTCTCTCCCTCTCTTTCCCTCTCTAAAAATAAATAAATACAATCTTAGAATAAAGTTTAAAAAGAACACAGCATGAGAAAGACTATCTCTTAGAAGCTGTGTGACCTTGTATATATCACTTAACCTCTCTGAGCTTAAGTTCTTTCATCTAAAGAACAGGGAATAAAAAGCATGACCAGCAGAGGACTTTTGTAAAGATTAAATGAAGTAAGGCGCACAAAACACTAAGCACCATGCCCGGCATAAAGGAAGCACTGAACAAGCGGCATCTTTTCCCATTATTAAAATTCCATAATCACCACTTTACTTTAGAAATAAAGAGGAAGGAAAAAGCTTACCTCAGCCACAGTTAGGACGCAGTACACGGACTGATGCTCAGGGTCCACGCCTTCTAACTTCATGCCGACTTTAAACCCGTTTTTGTTATATGGGAAGGACTGATACTGTAATAAAAAAATGACAGCATTCCTAGTTAATTTTTATCCTGAAGGTCTAATTAGCAACATGAATGATAACCATTCTTAAATAAAGACTATTTAACCAAATACATCTTTTTTAAAAAATCTGCACCCAAGGATATGTTTATCCATTTGAGAGCAAGCAGGAAGGAGAGAAAAGTATCCGCTGCTTCCTGTGTGAGCCCCGACTGCAGGTGGAACCCACAGCCTTTTTGGGGGACGGGAGGACGTTCCAGCCACCCAGCCAGGGCCGTAACTGGTGTTTTCACCCTGCGGCAGAATGCCCAACCAACTGGGCCGCAGGACTGAACATTTTTAAAATTCAAAAGAAAAAGGTCACCTAATGATCCAATAGAAAATGGACGAAGACCATAAACGGGTCACAGAAAAGGAAATTTAAATGTCATATATTTGAAAAGTTGCTCGACCTCACCCATAAGAGTCGCAAAAAGTGAAATTACACAAAAAACATATTCCACTTATCAGGTTGGTCTGATAATGCCGTTGGCAACACTCCAGGGAAACAGGTACATATCGCCAGCAGAGACACGGACTGCTGCGACCTCTGCCCCTCTCGTGGTATCTAGTTTAAAAAATTCTCTTTGACTCAGCAATTCTAATTCTAGGAAATTATCCAACAGAGTTACCCGCACATGTGCAAAATGACAGGTATACAAGGTTATTCACTAAAACACAGCAAAAGATTTGTGTGTCTATATTTTATATGAATATATAGTATTCCATCTTATGTCTGATCTATAATTTGGATTGCTCCCTACTGGGTGAGATGTATGTCATATATGTGTGTGTATCATATGTCAATATTTCACATGTTAATCAATAGGAAGCAGCTTAAATTATTATGGAGTAGCCATAAGATGAAATTTTATGAATTAATATAAAAGAATAATAAAGAAACTAATAAACTGAGATGAAATAATTTCTGAGCTAAGTTAACAAAAAACAAAGTTCACAATAGTTTGAGTAACATATATCATCATTTGGTTTAATAGAGGGGAAAGGATTTGGGTGTGTGTGTATGTGTGTGTAGCTTATCTGTACATAGAATTTCTTTTTTTTTTTTTTAGAGCATTGTTTTTCCTGTCCATGTTACTCTTTAAAAAAATTTTTTATTGTTCAAGCACAATTGTCTCCATTTTCCACATGTAATTTCTTCTTAAAAATGTAAAAAGGCTATTCTTCAAAGGACCAATGTTACAGAATGTAATTATATATAACAAGTTCATATGTAACAACTATTATGTTTAAATTAAATATGCTTAGTGTAGATGTACTCATCCTAACATTTATTAGTCATCACTTTTTAAAAAGTCCCTATGTTCCTACATATATAACAAGGTATTGATGACAGACTTATTACATACTGTGATTAAATATAATTAAGTAATTTAAAACCAGAAGTCAGCACACTATAGTCTATGAGTCAAGTCCAGCCCACCATGTGCTTCTGTAATTAAAGTTCCACCGGAATACAGCCACGCTCATTCATTTATATATTGTTTGTGGCTGTTTTCATTAAAGCAACAGAGTTGAGCTGTTGCACTGAGACCAGATGCACCATGAAGCCTAAATGTTCCCTCTCTGGCCCTTTATTAGAAACATTTACGACCCCTGTTTTGGCCCCTGGGCAGCAGCTCCTGGCTAGAACTACACTTGGTATCTATACCTTTATCTGACTTTAAGTCACTTATGACCAAATACTTTTATTATATTTACTAGAGTAACTCATTTTTAGACTTTTGTTGGGGTATCATATAAACCTCAGTAACTCATTTTTATTCTCCCAAAGTCATGATGTTGCCATGAACTTTCATGCCAGCTTTTCTTTACCTACCAGTTTTTCAGAAATAGCAGAAATATCTTTTAAAAAAATTAAGTGAAAGTAGCAAATGCTGAGAGAAAAGGGCAGGTGTACGGGTCTGTGCCCTTGCACACACATGGGCAGAAGGTGTGTGTGTACTAAAAGAGGTACCCCTCCATGTAAGTACACACACGAAAAACAGTAGGTTTGAGAAATTATCCCAAGTCACAAGTCCTAAACGGACAATGGCAAGGACAACCGTGACTGCAGCTCAGTGGTGCAGCTCCTCCGCCCTTAGAGACAGAGCTCTCCAGGGAGCCAGACCTCTTTGAACAGCTTTGCTGGCACTGCCACCGCCTTCTCCTCTTCCAGGTAGGATGCCCAGCACCAGGCTTTCTTTCCTTTAGGAGGCAGACCTGAAAGACAAGTGAGCCACAGATGTACATATGAACTCTACTTTCTTAAATACCACTAGGCCTGGCTCTCCTCTCATGACCGCGGCTGATAATTCTGTCTCTGCTCTTCCCTCCTCTGCCGAAGAAATGAAAGCTAAGCAGTGCACTGCAGTGTACATCCACAGTCAGGAGGGTGGAAGAAAGACAGGAGAACTCAGAGTAAATTACGAAGACAGAGCAGGGCAGAACAGGACCATAGAAGCTGCAGGAAGTGAGCACTTCAGGAGGCAGGACACTCAAAAAACTGCCTAAGAGATCAAGAAGTTGAAGATGAGAAGTGGCTAGTGTGCTGAGTGGTTAGGTAATGGCTACCAGTTTGGAAGACAAAGAAGGAAATCAACTCAGTGCAGGCCAGATTTTGAGCAGCAAACGAATATATAAGTGATAATAATATGGTGTCAACTATATTCAATTTTATTTTGGGTTAATCTGACAAATAATGGAAATAAAAGGAAGAATGCAATAGCTTGCTAAGTAACAAAATTAAAGGGAAAGCTATTTTGGCAGTGAAATTGGACCAGCTAAGGTGGAGCTCATGAAGAGAAAAAAGTCTGCATACCTAAGGGTTAAAAATAAAGGACTGAAGGAACAAGGTCCCAGAGGAGACAGAGCCCTGAGAACAGAAATGAAGGGGAAAGGACAGAAAGAGAAATGATATTTTTTGACACAAAGCAGTAAGTAACTGAGAATTGATTCCCTTTAATCTCAGTAACATAAAATAGAAGTCATTCCCCCCACATGTAAAAGGTAGGCTGTATGCTTGAGGCAGGTAGAAGTATTTCAAACTCTTTTTGAAGACTTAACAGATAACAACCAAGGAATGCATCCAATCACAGAAGAGGAGCACTGGGTTCCTGACCCTGATTTGGCGGGAGTGGAGCTGGGCAAAGCACACTGACCTAACAGGAGGGACTGGTCAGGCAGCTGTGGGAGGGGATAAAACCCAGTGGAGGCCACTGAGACCTCTATGAAAATGACGTAAGGTCCATGCCAAAGAAGGTGGTGAGTGCATCCACTCAAGTATTAAAGGAAAGGGCCTGAGGGCTGGATTCCTCAGGAGAATCAAGTGCTGCCAGGGGAACTACCAAAAAGAAAATGATCAGGAGACTATGGTTTCAGAGGAACTGTAAGGAACTTACAATATTAGGAAATGAACAAGAACACAGGTTTTAGTAAAGGTGCAGAAGTAAACGAAACCTATTGGATAAGAAAATAAAGGAAGATGTTCTGTTTGCCCAACACTAATTGGAAGACCATACTAACTTCGACTCTTTCCCTTATCTACTTCCTCATAACCTTTTTAAATCTTTGTTGTATTTTTATTGTACTTTATGTATTTTACTCCCCTTATACCCCTCTCCCCCAATAGTCACCAAAGCTATAATCTTTACTGATAGAACTTAATTAAAAAACAAAACAAAGTATACCTTAACTGCCCTAGCATGTATTACAACTAAGACTAAAACATCTACCTGCATGAAATTTTTTTAATTTCATAAAATTGCAAGTGAAAACTTTTTTTTTAAATCAACTCACTCTGCTTTAATACAGCCGAATCACCTCGTCTTTTCCTTCGGGCTCTCTGCGAACCCCTCAGGATTCTTCCATCCTGTTTGTTCTCCTACAGTAAGAATGGAAAATTGCAGTTTTTAGAAGTTCATGAAATTGGCACTGACAAAAGTAGAAAGCTGTTGAAAAGCATTCGTTTTTTTGTACTTTTCTACAACTTAGTGTCCTACGTTTTAAGGAAAGTGAGAATGTCATTTGGAAACTGTGTTGCTTTTAGCCTCAGGTCCTTACGAAAGGAGCATTTCCAACAAGTCCCCATCAGAAGGGCAGGATCCTGCTCCTGCTCCTGCTTCCATGAAACGCTTCCCAATCAGCTCTGTGACCCCTGTCCTCTGATTTTCCCCAAACCTCCATGGGCCTCTCTTCTCAGTCCCTTTGCTCATGTCTCCTCCAAGTCCCTTAGGTTTTAAAGACCGCCTGTCTGCCAAAATCCCCAGTCCGTCCTCCAGCCCTGACCTCTTCCTTGACTCCACACTCATGCATCCACCTGCTTACTTGGGATCTCTACTTAGATGTCAGCATCTCAAACTTATGATGCGCAAGGAACTCTAGGTTATGTACTCCAACCTTGCCTTCCCATCCTCAGTAAATGGCATCAGTATTCAGTGAGTGCTTCAAGCCCCAAACCTAAGAGTTATCCTGGATTCTTCTCTTTTCTTTACACACTAACAACCCTACTTCTAACATCAATCCCAAATCTATTCTCCTATCTTACATGGCCCTCCTAGCTAGTCTACTGCAATACAATTCTAACTGGTGCCCTGATTCCACTTTTGCTCTCCCACGTCAAAGCTCGAGTGATCATTTTAAAGCATGAATGATATCCAAGGATTCCCTTGCCTTTACCTTTCCAATGGCTTCCCATCATGATCAGAATAAAATGAAAACCCTTTACTCTGGTATACCATAAAGCCCTACATGCCCTGGACCTCTTCAGCTTCCTCTTACTCCACTCTCAACTGTATTGTCTTTTGTTATTTCTGCAAAGAAAACATGCTACACAGTAGAAAGTTTTCCTTAGCTATTCCACTGCCCAGAGGGCTCTTCACTCCTAACTTCACAATGCTGGCTCCTTCTTATAATTCAGATCACATTGCTCATGCCACCTTCTGTGGGAGGCCTCCCTTAACAAAGGGAGCTTAACAAAACGCAGCTTAACAAAGTCAGCAAATCCTAATGCCCTATTGTAATTTCCAGCACAGCACTTATTCCAGGCTGACACTTTTCCTATTTCACTACATGTTCCCTTAGTAAGAATGCAATGTCCCTGAGAGCAGAGACCCTGTCCCCCTGCTCTCATGTTCATCCCTGCATTCTCAGCTCTTAGAACAGTGACTACCAAATAAAAGTTGTTCAATATTGATCTTAAGGGAAATGCCACCAGACCTCCAAGTTCTATTTTCATAAGAACCATTAATACAAGGTCTGTCCAGAAAGATCAAGCCATGTTATATGAAAAATAGAGACATCTATTGAAGAAATACAACATACAAGAAACATTGTACATAGGACAATGATCCCCAAGTCCCCTTCAAAGGAGGTACCTTGAGACCTCACACAGTTCTTCCAGTATAATCATTAATGACTGTAGCATGATGTCTCTTCTGCTCTGGTAGCAGAAGCGATGGAACAAATTTTGCCATGACACGTTTCATGCCAAGATCTTGTGTCAAAATCTCAGATGGAGTAGTTTTTGAAATCACCAGATCAGCTTCTAGTTCTCACACTGTCAGTCACTGATTTTTGTTGACTGCAGCCTGTATATGTTCAATACTCTCAGGTGTTCTACTTGTTGCAGGCTTTCTGAAACGTGAATCACTTTCAACAGATTTTCAACCACCTTTGAAGCTTTTGTGCCACGCTTTTATTTGTGTTGCACTCATTGCATTGTCCCCCAAAACCTTGAATCATCTGACTGGTTTCCACAGAGGAATGTTCAAGCTTAACACAAAATATAATGTAGATTTGTTGCTCTACTTGCTCAGTCATTTTGAATGTGATGGCCACACAGTACACACGCTTACTCAACGGAGTCTACTGCCCCCACTGACTAGTATAGTGAAGCCAACACTGTTCACGCATGCGCATTCCAGTCCACTCTCCTTGGCTGCTAGGCTACACTGATGTTATGCAAACCATACTCATTATATTAACAATGGCTGGGCTTTTTCTGGATAGACCTTGTATATTTTTTAGGTGTAAGCTATTTATGTCTTAATTCACAAATTTTGAATTAATTCTCCCTAAATATACCTGATATTGTTCTGCCACTTTCTACCTACTCACATAGTTTTTTTATGAGATCTGCCTGCACTTTACCAAAATGGGATTGGGCTCCTGCTATCAAGAAACTGAAGGTTCATTTGCCAAACTTAAGGTCTGCTGTTGCCTCTTTCCCTCCAGCAATAAATCCCAGCACATCCTCCTTCTTCACCCTACGGGATCGGTCCTATTATTCACTATTCTCATGTTAAGATGAGGCCCCACAACAAAGAGAGAGCAGGTAGGTAACTTGCTGATGGTAATAGAGAGGCATGAAAGCAGCATTTTGAGTCAGTAACTGGCTTCAGAGCCAGTGCCTTTGACCATGATGCTACCACTTAAGAAGCACCCTGTGTTCCCGGGTAGTTGTGTAAGAGATACTAACCATTTCATCATCTCTCTCTTCTCCATCCTCCTTGGAATCAGCTTTCAGAGAAAGTTTTGGTTTTTTCTTCCGACTACACTTAGCGTCTTCTTCCTCGTTGTCTTCTCCTATGTCCCTTTCTTCCTTCTGATCTCTGCTGTGTTTGTAAACCCAAAACGGTGACAGGAAACAATACTTATTAAATACCTACATGTTGAGTATCAATGCAAATTTTTTCAAACATCACCCTCCAAAGGAAAAATATTTAATCACCAAGAGAAATGTACAAACATTAGAATATCATTGATAAGGAATACTTTGAATCATTATCATGCATGACATTATCAAGGTCAGAAATTAGAAATTAGCTTCTATATTAATTTCAAAAGAGGACAAGCACAATATGTGAAACATACTCCTACAAGTTTAAAATTATTTGTCTTTCACATCTGCCAATACTAATAAAGAATTACCAATACTAATAAAGAATTTAATTATTTAAAGACGTTTTAGTCTTCAGGGCAACTTTAAAGCAAGATTTAACAATTATTAAGAATGTAAGTCCCAATGAAATAGAGAACAAGGGGGCAGTGACCAGAGGGGAGAGGGAAGGGAATTTAAGGGAAAAAGGGAAGGGATTTGGAGGAACGAGTATGAAAGACACAGGGATGAGGACTGGGGGGGAGGAAATGGGAGGAAGGTGGGGAGCAAGGGGCGGGGGGGCTGGGATAGGAGAAATAGACAAAAAACTGTACTTGAAAAATAACTAAATTAAAAAATTAAAAAAAAAAAAAAGAATGTAAGTCCCAGTGAAAATGGCCAAGTGTAACTTAGTAAAATATCAGCTGGCCAACAAAAACAGATAATTCACAAGACTGTACTGATTAACATACATGGGAAACTCCACCAAAATATAAATGTCAATTCATTTATTGGTAGTATACAATTATATGTAAAAACTGCATCTTCTTGGTAATAATTTGAATTATGCCAGACAGTCCCCAAGTGGCAAAGTGACTCCTCTGTCAGTCATATCTGATGGCCGTGTCCTGTATCTCTCAGTCTGCCCTGAGAGCAGCACTAACATAACCCATGACATTACTCACTATGACCATCTTCATTCAGTGGATTTCAATCTGCTTTATTGCATTTGTAGAGTATTAGGTGAGTTACCTCAGAGCCCCCCAAATATAAACAGAACTGTGTTTCCATAAACATCAGTAACATCAAAAGGTGTATGTAGTCCAGAGAACTTTAAATACTTTTAGCTGAGAAATAATCAAATTAATGTAAAACAGAAGGCTAAGCCTTGGCAGAAGTTGTACTGCAGGTTAAACATAAGCAGTAAAACTCAGATCAGACAAGACTGAAGTCATTAGGTCCAGTAATGAGATCAAGTTCCATTTACTTCTATAGGAAATGTCTCTGAAAAAAAAGGGGGGGAGGGGCATGAAAGGGTGACAGGTCAGACAGCCTCTTGTATTCCTAAGCACCGTGACCTGAGACTCTAAAACCCATTTTATAGACGGAATGGAGCAAAAACGTACTTGTCTTTGACATGCCGAGTACAATTTTGGCTGCAAAAGTTCCCTGCAGAAAGACACTCATCTACGTTGCCGTACTGACAACAGTTCTCACAGAACGGAAGCCCTTCTACTTTCCCTGGCTCCTTCAACCTGAAAGGCATCCCCGTCTTCTCCGAAAAAACTAGAAGATGAAAAGAAGAGGAAAAGTTTAAAACCACAACAGAAAACAGTCCGAAATACACTTAAACACTGCCTTCTAATAATGTTGTTAGCAACACAATAAAATAATGTTTGTTGAATGGATGATTAAACTACAGCATTTGAGAAAAAGAAGAGGATGAGTTTGGTAGAAATCACTCAAATTATTTACAATTTCTGCAGAAAAGATAAAAAGCTTGTCCAAGGATTTTTCTATAGAGTTTTAAATAAAATGAAAATTTCATTAGTCACAAAATTCAGAAGATGTGTCTTTAACAAAATTTAAAAGGCACTATCTATGTTATTTCATGTTCATTACGTTCTGATGAGTAATTTTGTTTTACTAAATTGGTTAAATTAATGTCTCTCTGTTTTCCTTTTAACGTAGCAGATCTCCTGAATCATAATTATCCAAATCATTTAGGACTCACATTTCCTTTCGCCTGAATCATTAGGCTAATCATTCATTCAGCAAACATTTATTAGGCACTAATTTAAGCTAGACACTGAAAATGACAGTATAGACCTTGCCCAAGAGAGCTCACGGTCCAGAAGAGAAGACAGGTGAGGAGACCAGTATTTGTAATAAGAAGTGGCACATGCAGTAACTGAAGCATGAGCAAGTTCCAGAAGTACTACAGAGGAAGAAGTGATACAACTGGGCTGGGGTGAGGTCAGGGCAAAATTTTCCATATAAAACCTCAATGGGATTTTGAAAGGCAAAGAAGGATTTAACAACTGGTGAAAGAGAGAGATAGCATCCCAGCCACAAGAACCAGCATGAGCAAAGGCAAGGATGCAAGAGGCCACATGATGTGTTGGGAGAATTATGTGTGAGTGCTACCGGAGCACAAAGTACGAAGAATGGGACAGAGAGCAGAGAGACAAAGCAGGTGGATGCGGGTCACCCAGATCACTGTATGTTTTGCTAGAGAGAAACAGAAACTGGTGAAGCATCAGATAAGCAATCTACATAAGTTCCTCTAAATTCAGTGTACATGATAAACTGGGTGAAATTTAAATTAGAAGCAGGATGTTTCTTTAGGAGACGCCTGCAATAGTTCAGGTGAGAGTTGATAAGGGCCTACATTAAGGCAGTGGCAGTGACAATAGACAGAAAAGGCCAGATCTGAGACATATTTAGGAAGTAAAAACCAAGAGGATTAAGTAACAACAGTCTATGGGGCTGGGGAGAACACACTCAGGATGACTCCTAGATTTCTTGCTCATCCACTGGGTAGATGGTACTAGACCGACCATCAACTGAACTATGGGCTACAGAAGAAAGAGCAGGTTGGGGGTGGGGAGGGGAGAAAGAAATAGAAAATGAATTGCATTTCAGACATGGGGAGTTTGAGGTACCTGTGGGACATCCAGGTGGAGATGTCCAGTAGGCAGGTGGAAATACGGGCCTGGAGCTCGGGGGAGAGGTCGGGGCTGGAGATATAGATTTAGGAGTCATCAGCATATAGGTGTTAGTTACAACCATCGGAGTAGATGAGAAAAAAGTGGCAGGCTTTTGACTAAATCACCTGGGTAGGCTATTACATGGATTTACTTGATAATTTCCAATTAACCTGGTGCTATTACAGATCTGGCATTAGGAGAGAAGACAGTTAATGGTTATTTTAAAATATAAAAGCTGGTTCCATATCAGTTTTGTTATAGAAATTTACCTTAGAACATGTGACATGAAGATCACCCAGGATTTTCAAGGGTTCAGCCTATTATAAAACCTTAGATATTCTTATTCAAAAACTTTCAAAAGAAAGAAATAATGCAGATGACCCATTCTTACCTTCTTGAGCAGTTGGTACCATCCAAGTCGTAGTAGCTGTTGCTTTTTTAACATTTTCCATCTCGCTCTCATCTGTTATAACTTCCAGGGCTCCAAACTCATTTACTCGAAACTAGTGACAATACAGCAGAAAGAGGCAACATTTACAAAAGTGTTCAAAACAGTAATCATTCAATGGCTGGCCCACATAGTCCCTAAGAAAAAAATAAATTACATTTGAAAAGCTAATTAAAACAATTGCATCTAGACAAGCCTTCTGCAGATATTAAACCCTTTGCATTTTACTAATTTTGGAATTTAAGGAAGGGGACTGGAACAAAGCAACAAGGGACTTCTCAAGGATATAAACAACCAACCCTACATGCTCCTGTGGAGTGTCCAGCTCACATGCGTGGCTTGTAATTTCAAACACCATTTTTTTGCTAAGACTTTTTCCTTATATTACAGCTTATTTGATCATCAAAATCAATAAAAGGAGAATTACTGTTTTCCCAGGAATCAACTGGTCTCATCCGCGCTGACCTAGTTCAGAAAGAAGGAATCTCTCTATTCCAGAAAATATTACTGGCATATTCCATGTTGCTATCTATATTCCAAGATGGGAACGAGGAAGGCAGAAGCAGGGGTCACATGACCCCCAGGCTCCACACTTCCTCTTCTCTTTCCCTACTCTCTAGAATTCTCCATTACATCCACCTCTAATTTTCTAAAGTGACTGGTAATATCTACGACAACCGAACAAGAGTACTAGCTCCAGGACAAGGTTATCACTAAGAAGGAAGGGCATTTTGATTCCAGATATTGAAAGTTTCCTCCTACTGCATGGCAAGCTTTAAAGTATGTTTCTGTAACAGCCTGGTCGCAGTCTGTGTGTGTGTGTGTGTGTGTGCGTGTGTGTGCGCGCGCGCGCGCACTGCAGGCTGAACCCCTCCCTGTGCACAGGGGCCCCATCCTCTTTGAAACAGCTGGGTTTACTCTCATATTCCATGAGGTTCAAAGTTTTCTGCATTCCTTCTGTTTTCCCATAAAACAGAATGACATTAAAGACCCATTCATTTTAACAGGTGATGAAGAGCAAGAAAGCTCAAAATTCAAAGGAATAATAAAACTTTTTGCTTAAAGTTTTTAGATCTTACATAGAAATACATATGAGATGCAAATAAATAGATTTGGATTCAAGTCAGAAAAATCTTAAGCCAGTATTCTTTCCACCAGGTGAAAATAACTCCTTAAATAACTGTTTGCACCTAGTCCACAATCATTAAATGCTTTCTAGACTGAACAGGCTGAAATAATTAAGGAAGTGAAAACGATTTTTCCCCGACTACATATTCCAGGCACAAATTTTGAGGTAAAATGTGCATACTATATAGCTAATATGTTCACTTAAAAAATGTCAGCATAGGAGATGGTAAGAAGTTAATTGGATGAAAAGACCTAAAAATAAGTTTTGGGGAAAAAAATTCATTTTAAAATGATCAACTCTGAAAACAGAATATTTCAAAATAAAGCTGACAGTACCATCTACTGGGCAAGAGTAGAAAAACAAGCCATAATGATAATTAATGATATTAAAAATATGATAGAACGCAAATTCTAATAAAAATTCTTTAAAAAACAGGCATGACCTTGATAATTCCATCCAGGAAAGTAATTTTACTTTTATTACATGCTGGCATTTATTTATACTTACTTGACAATCACAAAATGAATGAAATAGCACCAAACATTTCGATTACAAATCAAGTCTCCTGGGGCATAAGTTTGCAAAGGGCCACTAAACCACAAACTACCCTGCAATTCAAACACTGAGAAAGAGACCACCACTGAGAGAGGTCATCAAATAGAAATGCAGACCAAAGACCCCCAAAAGCTTTAGGCTCAAATACTTTCAAAGTTAAAAGGTGATGTTCCCATGATACAACATTTAATCCCAATTATCTTCTCCTTCTCCTACTGTTTAATGCCTATAAAACGGACCGATAGTTTAAGCACCAAGTAAAGATGCAATGGCACTTAGGGAAGGAGTTGACCCCCGTGAGCCAGGGATCCATGGATGGACGTTTAGGGTGGGTGAGCCCCATGACATGTATGCATAATTAGGATATGGGCACCTACATACCTCTCTGGGGGATGGGATTCATAAAGTTCATCACATTCTCAGAGGTATCCTATAACCCTGACGAGTAAAGAACATCTATTCTAACCAAAATTACTGTATCTCAGAAATTAACCTGGAGGTGTTTTTTAAGGATCCTATCACATGCGAAGAGACAGAGCGATCAATTTTTTTCTGGCTTCTCGATCTGGATTTTCTTACACAATATTATTTTGTAGAAAATGGTGGACAATACAGGTTACTAGGTGCTGTTAACATCACTGGAGTCCCACAGATGAAACTCCGGAAAAACTGACACCTTTACTTTGTTTTTTCAATAAAACACTCAGGTTCTAAAGTTGGTAATGGTTTTATGAATGGTTTTTGGAACCAGGAAAACTTGAAATAACAAATTATACTTTGAAGTTACTCTTTTAACTTACAAATCTAAAAAGCAAATATGAAAATTTATCAAGTCACTCCATTCTAACAAAGAATATCAAAATTATAAACTTTACAAAGGGCTTTCTTAAGCAAATTAAACACATCAGCTAACATTGTAACATTTTCTGTAAAGGGATATATCTAGGTCAATCAGAAAACAATTACCTCTAAAATACATAAAGACTAGCAAAGGTTCTGTTTGTTTGTCTTGGCTTGAATTACCTTTAATTGATTCCATTCTCTTCTTTATCCAAGGATTTATTTTTGCTTGTAAAGGCAAAGGGTCTTTCGCCTATTTTTTGCTTGTCTTTAATAACCATTAAAAAACACTCCTAAGGTTATTATTTTTGTTTCATTTTGCTTAACGCTAAAATTTAGTTCTACTTACCAATCTGTTTTAAGGGCAAAGATATTTGCTAACTAAACTGGTTTGAACACTAATCAAGACAAGGCAAACTGTTCACTAAGTGCAGTGAATTTTCCAGTTGGGTTGCTGTATTGCTGCTGTTAAGTGGTAACTATTCTTACTGGATAAGATGCTATCGCTCTCAAAAGTATGTCTGCATTGTACCCAGGGACTCTGAAAAACTCAGTCCTTATGACCCGGAGGAATTATCCTCAGCGGATAAATTTCAGACATAATTAGAAGTTCAGGTAGAGAAACTGCTTTAGGGGAGGGAGCCCTACCATACACCTTTCCACAACCACTTACTGCCTGCCTGTTCTGATGGCTAGCCCTGAGATAACAACCTAAAAATACTAATTTTCATTTAAAAAAAAAACATTAAGCAATGGCAACGTTTCCAAAGCTCATTTAAGCAAAAAGGTCTGCTTAATGACCACAAGATTTTAAATAGGGCCAGTGGACACTTGCTCCCCGCTCCCCACCCCCAACACTGTACTTTCTTATGCTGGTCCCTCCGTGGGATGCCTGCCTTTCTCTTCACCTCCTCCCGCCCCTGCCTCCCAGTCTTCACACACACACTAGAACCTCAGCCACTTTCAGGCACCTGGAGCTCACACGACACGTGTTTTCCAAAGCCTTCCTTATCCCTTCAACTAAAATAATACCTCCTTAAAATGCTGTAACATTGTCCTTGCACCTCTCTTTTGATAGGAAAATGTTTTCTCTCTTTGGACTGTAGTACCACGGTGGTAACAGAATTAATATCAAAAAGCCTTATTTTAGGACACAGTTCTGCCAATAACTAATTGACCTTGATCAAATGACAACCACTCTGGGTCTCCATTTCCCATCTGTAAACTGACAACAGCGGGAGAAACCACATACCTCCAAAGGTTAAATAAAGGTGTTAAATTAAAAAATGCAGGTAAAATGTTCATCAGAGTAGGTTCTCTATTATTTATATCACTACTGCACCAAAACACAAACCTTTCACACTGGCTTTATATAAGGATTGGTCAGCCCCACGTAGGGGTACAGGGGATTCCAGCAACAAGGAATAATAAAAAAGGTGCCACGTCTTCAACTGGTGGTTTGGGCTGGCAAGGAAACAGGGTGGCCCTGAGTACTGAAGGGAGATGCAGGCAGAAAGGAAAGTTAAGGCCAGGCCATGGAAAAACTGGTGGCACACTGAAGGTACTCAACCTTCACTTCACCACCAAAGATTCAGACAACTGCCCAAGGATGTTAAGCAGAAGAGTGATACTTGCGTATAACCTGACTGGCCAGCAATCAGAAGGCTTTTACAGAAAAAAAGTTCTTTCAAAATGGCAACGTATGGCAGCATCCAAAAACCTGTTCCTGTGACAAGAAATTGGGTTCTGTGTGTGTATCAGCTGATTCCATTAGCTGAGTTAACCTCAACTGGTTGTCTTGGAATAATAACATCCTGTTTATTAGGAAATTCACACACCTATACCCACGCTTTAATAGCATAAAATAAGCAAAGCTCGGTGTGAAAGAGGAAATTCGTGATTTATTCAAAGTTCTTTCTAACATCTTAAATTTGTCAAAAATTAATTTTGTAGATCTCTTAGGCAACTCAAATTTTCATAGAAGGAGTAAGTGAATTAGAAATCCTAAGCCATATAATCAACTGGCTAGTCTCTGAATCTCCTTGAATAGAAAAGGCAGGAAGGTAGAAAATAAGTTTTTAAATTATTTTTAAGTGAGTATCAAACTATCTACAATTCATGAAGTGGATTGGATACATGGCAATTGCTCAATTAGATGAGCCACAAGTCAAACCAAATAACACAGATTCTAATAACCCACTAAATGGCTTAAAGTTACCTTATTACCTTAATAAAAGCAACAGGTTATTTCCTAAAATGTATTGTTCAGAAAAACCTTCAAGCAGTCTAAATTTCTTAGGGATAAAAATTATACTCTATTGTCAAAATCTAACTAAAATTACAAATTCTATTACCTACCTGACACCCCAAAAAAAGCCACTCAAAAGGGACAAAAAAATTACAAGGGAACGAATGCATCAATGAAAAAGGGCGGGTGGCAGTTACATACTATATCACAAAGTCAGAATAGATTGATTTAAGTGTTTTTCATACCTATTTTTTGAATCCTCATAACCACCTTATGACATAGATCCCACATTTCCATTTTACAGGTAAAGATTCTGAAAATTAGGGAATTTAGATAACTTGACTAAGCTCATGTCGCTAATGTGCAGCTGACATTATCCATGTCAGAGGAACAGTTCCTTCTTTCTCAAAAATTCCAGCACTCTACCTACTTCCAACATACCTAATCCACACAAACATTTAGAGAATGTTACAGCAGATAAAATCCTTAGTATTTATTTAATCCCTTGTTTAACCAGAGAAAACCGGCCCAAAGGGACCAAATGACTTGTTCAAGATCACACAGATGAAAACTAAAATCTCTCCCTAAACCTCACTACAATAGTTTTGTTAAGCTAAACTCAGATATGTTGGCACACTGCCCTTCATTACACCAAATCCAATCAAAATCCAAGTATTTTTCCAGTAACAGATTATCCAGATCTCACGATGAACAAGAACAGGCTGGGTTGAGATACTGTCAAGGAAACACTTTAAAAGGGATTGGATTATAAGAGGCCAACATCAGGGGGCAGGAATTTCTGTTCAGGACAGTACAGACACCACGCACGAGAGAAGGAAGCTGACAGACAGCCTGTTGTGGAGATGGGAAGTTCAAACACACGAGTGACCAAGTACATACACAAAGTCTAAAAGGCCACAGAGAGGTTCAAGGTCCCAGAGATAGGATCAGAGCAAAAGCAAATTTGAAATGAGAGGTGAGGGAGACTGATTTCCCAGATGGGCGCTTGCGTAACTATGTTTCATGGGGAAGCAGATGTGGTCCTTGAGAGCGTTTGGGGAAACGCTTTTCCTGGGGAAAAGGGGCAGGGTGAGCGCCTAGAAAAGGAGCATCCGAGCGGAGAAGTCATTCTCTGAAGAGAGTGCTCATCTACACAAAGGCCGTCTGGTTCATAAAAGAACTAGATTTTGAACATGTGATTCTGTAAAAACCCACATCTACACTATGAATAACTCAAGGGAGGCCATCATCCTCTATATTCAATATTTTATCATTATCCGGTTTTTAAAGGAGAAAACTAGTACACAGGGAAGGTGGCTGTTTACTGAAACTTACAAAGCCTGTTACTACAAATATATGCAGCCAGGTCTTCTAAGCCTACAACTGTCCCATTTATTGGCTATCATGATAAAGCCAAACCTGAGGTGATCCTCTTTGAAGCTGTAACTCAGTTTCCACAAAATGAGCACAAAGTGCCATAATATTCCTTAGTCACCTACCCCAAATGACGATGGCTTTCCCCAAACTATGAGCATTTCAAATTGTCTTGAGAGTTTATTGTAGAGGTCTAAGTATCATATAAAACCTAGAGAATCATGCCTAGTGTTTTTAATTCTTATTTTACATATTCATCAGATTTATTTTAATAAATACATGTACATGCGTGCCACACATATAACTATGTAATAAAGATAGCTTACCTTTAAGTCACTTCCTGGCAATGTACCCACTCCATCTTTCCAGTCCATAACACTGAATACATCAAACTCTTGCCCACTTGTGCTAGAGGCAGATTCAGTCATGGTTTTTTTTTTTAACCTGGAAGGGGGGGTTAAAAAAACAAATCAGTTTTTATTTCACTGGTCATTACTTTAGTTTCCCTTAATTACATAATATTCTTCATCATACTATCCCTTATCCATAGGTCTAAAAATAATTACTGAAAATATCAACACTTGCCCTGGCTAGTGTGGCTCAGTGGATGAGTGCCAGCCTGTGAACCAAAGGGTCGCCAGTCTGACTCCCAGTCAGGGCACAAGCCTGGGTTGTGGGCCAGGTCCTCAGTAGGGGGCGTGTGAGAGACAATCACACACTGATGGTTCTCTTCTCCCTCCCCTACCCCTTCCTAAAAGTAAATAACGATAATCTTTTAAAAATAAACAAAACTATTAAAAAAAGACCTAGAACATTTCATTGGTCACCTTTGGAGGATATATGGTCACCAACTCATTATGTAGAAAAATAAATAAGGATTTATCCTGTCTGTATCATGAGACCCATGAAAACTGTATTTCAAGGTAACCAAAAATTGCTGGTGACAGGAAATTTCCCTTGAGAAAGAATCCCGGCTAACAGAGAAAGGAGTGCTAGAACTGGAACAGAACCATTTGCAACCCTTCACAAATTAATGGCTCCAGCAAACAACAGTCAGTGGCTGCTAAGAACATAAACCCCACACCATTTATGAAGGAGGACTGCCAGGAAGAAAACACAACCTAACCTAATCTGATCAAGTCTATTCACAAAAAATACCAGGAACAAAGGACCACGTTAAGTCACACCACAAACATACAAGGAACAAAACATGGAATGTCAGAAACTCTTTAGCGACATTTCTCAAAGTATGGTCCACAGACACTGGCGGGGGGGGGGGGGGGGGGCCTTGACACCTTTCCAAAGGCCCAGGAAGTAAAAACTGTCTTCATAAAAATGCTAACACATTCTTTGCCTCTTCACTGTGTTGACATTCACTCTCAGGGCACAAATGCACAAGCAGGCGAGCTGCCGTAATCTGTTCACCACCACACACTCACGGTGAGCAAGTATCAGTTTCCCTAACGACCATCCTTGATGAGGTAAAATAATAAATTTCATTGTCTTGATACCTGAATACACATCCTGTTAATATTCTGTGTGGTGACAAGTCAGCACCATAAAGGGGTCGGGCATGCAGAGTACCACGGCCGTCTCAAGGGAAAGTGCTTGCAAACTGCTTGAGACCCGCTAAAAAAGCTGCTGTTTTTTTTTTTCCCCCCAAGGGAAGCCATTTTTATTTAACAAAAAATGTTTATTCGGTTTTGAATATTTGGCAAATATTTTGTCAAAAATAAATGAAGTGAGCCTATCACATCAAGAAAAATACTGATGGCATTTGTTGCTCATGATACAACTTGAGCGTTCAAGAGAAAAACCAGAATTTGTGAAAACCTTCAATCCACTGACAGGAACTGGACAGCTTCTCCTTAGCTATAGAATTTTCTAAGGAAATAGGTGGTAATATTCATGAACACGATTTTTAAAAACTTCATAGTAAAGTATGTCAACATTTGGAAGATCTGCACAACTGGGCGAAACGGTGCTTTTGAAACGACCAATGTTTGACGGTACATGAGTAAAGGATCCATTCAAAGTGCGAGGAAGACCAATATTTTTTAGGTAACAGGGTATGAAAAGCTAACTAACAGAGTTTCAAGCTGCACACTGCAACTAACATTTAAGAAACTATCATTTGTGAAGTTTTGGTGTAGTGTCAAAGAAAAATGTCCACCATTAAATTAAAAGACTTCATATACACCTCCCTTTTCCAAAGACATATTTGTGTGAAGCAGGTTTTCTTCATAAACTTCAACCAAAACAACATATTGCAATACACTGAATGCAAGAGCGATATGAGAATCCAGCTATCTAATATTAAGACAAACATTAAAGAAGTTTCAAAAATATAAAACAGTACTATTTATATGCTTTTAATTTTGAAACTGTTTCATAAAGATTATGCTTATATACACTAATAGATTTACTATTGTTATGTTTAAATAAATAAAGTTTAAACTATGTATTTTATTTTCTTTTTAGACAGAGGGGAAGAGAGGTGGAAAGAGATGGAGAGAAACACCAATGTGTGGTTGTCTCTCACATGCCCCCCCACCCCCCACTGGGGACCTGGCCTGCAACCCAGGCACGTGCCCCGACTGGGAATCAAATCAGCGACCCTTTGGTTGGTAGTCTGGTGCTCAATTCACTAAGCTACATCAGCCAGGGTTATTTTCATTTATAATCCAGTAAATACTGATATAGCCTATACAAATAATAGCTCTTTGAGATTTTCAATATTTTTAAAAGCATAAAAGAGACCTGAGACCAAAAAATCTGAAAAGTTCTGCTATCCAGGATAAAAACGTGTTTTATTCCACACCAAAAAAACCTGTCGAGAAATGAAAATGTATTTGAAAGAGGAAATCTGAAATCTAAATTTAAAGGAATTTAAGAGACATATTAACAACAGTATCATAATTCATAGGTGTTGTTTGGATACTGACTTGAACTATTGAAAGAAAGATGATTACTAGGAGGGGAAATCTGAATGCCAACTGGCTAGCTGGTATCAGAGAAACACTACTTACTGCTCTTACAGGAGTGATAATAGTGTACAGTTTTTAAAGGGAGCTCTTTCTTGTATTTGTGGGATTCAAAATGAAACGGACACATGTAAGGAATTTGCTACAATCATTGGCAACATAGTGGTAACTGTCAATATGTGTGAAGGGTCCCTAGTGGTTTATATGTGTGAAGGGTCCCTACATCCTGTTTTATGTATGCTTGAAATTTTCTATAATAAAATTATTTTAAGTGTACATAAATATACATTCATTTTTAAAGAGTCAATAGAAAAAAAACTTCTTTGAATTGTCACTATCTTCTATGAGAATTTGCTAGATTTTTCAATAGTTTCTTCTTTCCCTTTAAATTAGAAAATGTTAAATATACATATATTAAGTCTATATCTGATCATTTCAAAATGTATGCAGTTTAAATTTGCAGAAGCATTAGATTTCACTATCATTAAGACTTAATCCTCAACACAGCAACTAGAATATAAAAACCTAGTGATGAGTTAATCTAAGAAACAGTAAAAATATTAATTAACTGAAGATCTGCACTTACAGTCTCTGGCTCCTACTTCACTGAATAAAGATCGGTAACAAAACTGACTTCCCTGTAAAGTGATGAAGGAATGGCAACTGTCCCCCTGGTGGATAAACTGGGTAAAACTTGGGTAAGCCTTTAAAAACAAAAGTTTTACTGTTCTTTCTCTACGGGTTCACCTGACAGCCCATGTCAGATATAACACATACACTTTCTATCTTATTAATTAGACCTCACCTTCTTCCAGAAAGATTCAAAGCAGCAGGCAACTTACATCCATTATCTCATTTTTTTCTGTTCTACTAAAAGCCAGGCACCAGTATCCCTCTAGTCTACATTAAAGAAAGTGAGCCGCAGAAAGGTTCAGTAACTCAGCCAAAACCGCAGTGGGTGGCCTGGTAAGGATCTGAACCCAGGTTAGCCTGATTCCAACCAAGCCCATTTTTCTCAAACATTATCTAACCTTGTAGAATCTTGTGTCCTCTGAGAACCTAGCAAAACTTAACTTTTCCCTGTATTACTCCTTAGAACATATATCCAGAAACCAATTTTCTAGCACCAAAGTTCTCGAATTATCTATACCAATGCAATGCGTATGCTTTTAATAAAATTTCATCAATCTTCTTATTGATAAAAATGCCATGAAGACATAAATATAAATATACATACATGTATTTCAATCTTTTCCAAGTTAAAACCTAAGTGTATAAAATTCGTAACAGCAAAATCCTGTAACTAAAAAGAGCAACAAAAGTAGTACAAAACCCGCATTACATGTTTTAGGGAATCCTTAGAATACACGTTTGCCCTACCGAACACTGCTAATGTTACACAGTGTACTCTGACTATCAGCATATATCTAAAATTTGTAACTGTTTCCATCCACCGTTTTATTCTAAGGTTTGTGGACATTTTGCATAAGGTACTGTAGCATGAAAATATTTATTTTGTTCTCTTTCCCATGATCTAATTTTGAAGTCACTGGCTAGTTTCACTATCACAATTAGTATGAACAGCTAGGACAGATTAGGTGTTTTTCCACAATCTCACACTCACGTAGAACAGCCAACAGCCAATATCATTTTAACGGAAACTACTTCTACGACACGCTAAGTCTTTCTACCTCGTTACCACCCGTAAGTGTGTACATACAAACGTACAGAGTCCTTTCACTCCAACAAATCATGTTTCTGAGAGGTAAGCAAGTGTTTTTAGTATTTAGAAATGCTGTTTTATGTTTTACTTAAGATCTGGCACTATCCCATGATCCCATGTGTAGCCCGTAGTCTACAGGCCAGAAAAAACAGGTAATAGTCACTCACAACACAAGTCACAAATGTTATTTCTCATCTGTAGAGATGCCATCCCAAATCTCTCGTTCGTGGTGCTGAGATTTCCAAGAAAGCACCTTAAAAGTGTATATACCATGATGGGTCTTCTGTGCTGTCAGACAAGAGCTACCATCTTCCTCCTAATCTCTTCTAAACTCTAATGGTCTCCAGCTCACTGCTGATGTCAAAAAGGGACGGCTTTGGGGTTCAGATGTCCCGCAAATGTACCAATGCAGCGTTTGATTCCCACTAACATCGATGTCGTGGACGACAGCAGCTAAAATCAAGGGGACTGATGTCCGGTGTGATCCTCTCAATGCCCACTGTGGGTGTCTCACGAAGGAGATGACTTTACTGAAGACCAAGGTCACTGCTGGTGGTATCTATACAATGTGTTACACTCCAAAGCCCCCCTTTTGTGAAACAGCTCACTCTAGCTTTTACTAATTTTTATTATCTTCTTGCCCTAAGCCTCCAACGAAACGCCTGGAGGACAGACTGACGTACAACACGGTCTCAGTCTCCTATACGACCACCCCCTGTCTCCAAACCAAAGAGGCA